TACGAAACAACCTTGAAAAGGATTGCCAACACGGTTTTTTGCCGGGGCGTTCCTACTTAACAATTGCTCAAGGTATTGGATATTTGGACCCATATTTTGGAACGGGGTGGTAATATCGACAATATATACAGTACCTAGAATTTGCCAAGGCTTTCGACAGTGTACCCCACGAAAGGCTGAAAATCAAACTGGATGGGTACGGAATTCGGGGAAATGTCCTAGCGTGGACAAAAAACTTTCTACATGACCGCAAGCAGTGTGTGGTGATTAATGGCACGAAATCATCATCTGTACCTGTCACAAGCGGGGTACCACAGGGCAGTGTATTGGGTCCGCTGTTGTTTGTTTGTTCCATAAATGACATGCCTGACGTTGTACACTCCTCCATACAAATGTTTGCCGATGACGCCAAGTTATTTCGGGAAATCAAGAACCATGCGGACTGTGAAGAGCTGCAGAAGGATCTCTGTGAGCTCCAAGAATGGTCGAAGAAATGGCTGCTGAGATTCAATGTCACGAAGTGTAAGAGGATGCACCTGGGGCCTACCAACGGTAAGGAGGCGTATCATATGTCCCAACGGGATGAAGAAGCTGCACTATTTGAGACTGAATATGAGAAGGACCTAGGTGTGTATGTTGACAATGAGCTGAAGTTCTCGGGCTATTGCGAGAAGAAGGTAAATCAGGCAAATAAATTATTGGGTCTTATAAGAAGGTCGTTCAGATATCTAGACGGTCCGTCCCTTGTAACGATCTTCAAGACTGAAGTGCTTCCCCATTTGGAGTACTGTCACCCCATCTGGTCCCCGAGATATGCTAGGGACTGTCAGTTGGTTGAAAATGTTCAAAGGAGGGCCACCAAACTGGTGCCTGCACTTCGACACCTCAACTACCCTGAAAATCTAACTGGAATCTAATTTCTTTGTGATCGCTGTTTGCAAGTTCGTTCCCTACCTCGACATTGCTAATGAGGTTTTCTCTGTTCGACAGAACTAAATTGAGTATATTATTACCCCGGGTGGGTTCGGTTATATGTTGACTTAGGAAACAATCCTGGATCGTTTCGAGGAAATCCTCTGATACTGAGTTACCCGTAAGGTCAGTCCAATCTATTTGGCCAAGGTTAAAATCGCCTACTATACAGACTTTGTTGTGTATGGAAGCCCTGCGCATTTCGTCCCAGATAAGTCGCCCATTAACTCTATCAAGATTGGGAGGTCTATATATTACTCCTATGATTAATTTTTCCCTACCGTCGATTAATTTTATCCAAACTGTTTCTGTATTCCGCTCAGTTTTTATTTCCTTATTTATTTCGCACTTCAGATTATCCCTGACATCGATGGCGACTCCGCCTCCTTTCCTGGACAGCCTATCAGTATGGAACAATTTGTAATCCGCAATTTGGTATTCGACAGGTAACTCACGTGAGTCTAGGTTGATCCATGTTTCAGTGAATGCTATTATATCGATTTTTTCGGTACATACCAAGGCCCTAATATCATCCATTTTGTTTCTCATGCTTCTACTGTTCGCGTAATAGACATTTAAGGTAGTCGTGTTCTGAGTCCTCCCTTTACCGCGTTTAGGTTTAAATTCCCTGTCTAATTTAGTTTTGTCATCGTTCCTAACACTATTTCCCTGTAATCTTTCACTTGGTTTACCCGCTACCACTGCAGTCTCCTCCACCCCGTGCTCCTATGCTCCCCTAGCAGTTTAAAGACTTCGATCGTATCTGCATATTCTTCTTCAGGGGCGCACCCAGAAATTGAGCAGGGGGTTGGTTCCAAATTTCTGAGAAGTCTGGCGAGCGTGTAATTTAGCATCCTAATCTTTGTATATAGACTTAGCGTTGTTGAAGGCTGTGGCATCCAAAGTAGATGTAACTACACCAAAAACTACATGTGAAGTGAGGACGAGAGAAATGGGAACATGTTCCCTGACCCAGCATGCTCGATTTCCAACGCCGTATTATCGTACGATACAGTTATTTGAAGCACACTTGCGAAATCATCAAATATGTGAAAGTGGATGGAAAAATAATTTATAAATATGTAAAATCTATAGAAAATGTACAATGTAGATGAGAAAAAAAAAATACATTAAATCTCAATATTTCACAGTCTGGCAGTGCTGTATATTAAATGCATTCAGGTGCATGGGACTGGCAGAGGTGGTGGAAGTTACCGTGGCGTGGGGTGAGGTCAGGTAAGCTGACCCAACCTTCGTGTTACTAAGGTGTCGCCAGGTCACGTATGGGTTGGCCGCACCATGCCGTACCTGGAAGGGGGGGGGGGGCCTCCGGGCAACCAGGAAACCCCCCTGGGTGCGCCACTGAATGTAATGGCATTTTCAGAGCTAATTTGATAAGTAGTGTCCCAGTGTGGCTACCTAACCTAACCTAACCTTGGTTGCACCTGTTGCTGAGTGAGAAGGTGCGTGTCTCACCTGTAGATTTACAACTACCCATAGTTCCGTACCGTTGTGAATTTCATATGACTTTTCTGAAATGTAAAGACCCCAAGAGTCCGCTGGTGAATATTCAACAAAGTCGTGATAATCATATCAAGGTGATGATGATAGGTGTTCATAAGGTCAGGTTCGTCGGCTAAGCATAGCCGTTGTTCACCTTGTAAAAGATTGCCAACACGGTTTTATGCCGGGGCGCTCTTGCTTGACACAATTGCTCAAGGTATTGGATATTTGGACCCATATTCTAGAACGGGGTGGTAATATCGACAATATTTACCTAGATTTTGCCAAGGCTTTCGACAGTGTACCCCACGAAAGGCTGAAAATCAAACTGGAAGGGTACGGAATTCGGGGAAATGTCCTAGCGTGGATAGAAGACTTTCTACATGACCGCAAGCAATGTGTGGTGATTAATGGCACGAAATCGTCATCTGTACCTGTAACAAGTGGGGTACCGCAGGGTAGTGTATTGGGCCCGCTGTTGTTTGTTTGTTTCATAAATGATATGCCTGACGTTGTACACTCCTCCATACAAATGTTTGCCGATGACGCCAAGTTATTTCGGGAAATTAAGAACCAAGCGGACTGTGAAGAGCTGCAGAAGGACCTCTGTGGGCTCCAGGAATGGTCGAAGGAATGGCTGCTGAGATTCAATGTCACGAAGTGTAAGAGGATGCACCTGGGGCGTACCAACGGTAAGGAGGCGTACCATATGTCCCAACGGGATGAAGAAAATGTACTAGTTGAGACTGTGTGTGAGAAGGACCTAGGTGTGTATGTTGACAATGAGCTGAAGTTCTCGGGCCATTGTGAGAAGAAGGTAAATCAGGCAAATAAATTATTGGGTCTTATAAGAAGGTCGTTCAGATATCTAGACGGTCCGTCCCTCGTGACGATCTTCAGGAGTGAAGTGCTTCCCCATCTGGAGTACTGTCACCCCATCTGGTCCCCGAGATATGCTAGGGACTGTCAGTTGGTTGAAAATGTTCAAAGGAGGGCCACCAAACTGGTGCCTGCACTTCGGCATCTCAGCTACCCTGAGAGATTGGAGCGCCTGAACTTGCCTAGCTTATACTACAGACGGGCAAGGGGGGACCTAGTTGAGGTTTATAAGCATCTCAGGGGGCACTACTCAGTTGAGTGTCCTTACTTGGAGCTGGCGGACGCTCGCCCCACAAGGGGTCACAGCTCAAGATTGAAGAAGCCGCAAGTCCAGAAAACCGTGAGGGCAAACTTTTTCGGGGTGAGGGTTGTAAACTCTTGGAACAATCTACCAGAGAGTGTTGTGACGGCACCGAGTGTGAGCTCTTTCAAGAGAAGACTTGACCAACACTGGAGCGGGTTCAGGTTCATTCAGGAGCCGGTGCATGCCCAGTATTTGCCAACAGTGCGTGACAGAGACGTGACCGATCGCCCGGGCGGCTAGCGAGCCGACCTTTTGGTGAAGAATATAAAGGAAAAGAGACGTGACCGATCGCCCAAGCGGCTAACAAGCCGATCAGTGGCGAAGAGGATAAAAGTAAAAGTATATACCTGTTGTCTTTGTACCATCGGTAACACCAGAGAAACCAGTTTAACCACAAGGCGCCAGCACTGACGGGGTCTCCAAACGTACGATTAATACAGTATATTTACGAGACAAATTTCACGTCAAAAAGAAATATTTAAGAAAATTCAAATACATGTTATTTTTCCTGGAACTTATTACATATTGTAAAGGGCTTTTAGTTTATTTAGTATATTTTTAACGCACATAGTAACTCAGAACTGAAGTAATTACCTAGCCTTGAAAAAAAAGACGGAGCATTATTATGAACATTGTACAGTATATGTAAGTTATTCTTAAGAGAAGAATATAACAGGTCTGTGGCTGTGATGAAAAAAGAAATATATCCACACATAAAACATCACACAGTATGTCAACGCAGGTGTGGTATGTATCCATACAAGTCGGTGTAACGTATGTGTCGAGTTTTATATTTAACGTACATAAATTCACTCACATTTACTTAATATCTAAAGAAACAATGCACTTTCAACATATTTTTAGCTGATTTTCTAACGACTTAAACCTAACCAATTATACTAAAATTTATTGTGAACTTCAAGATATTTCCTACTTTCTGTGGCACTCGTAGGTATTGTTGTACAGTAATTGTGAATATTTTATTAATCAAGCATCAACGATAAAGAGGTTTATCTTAATGCTGAATTAATACAGTCCTCTGTAATAATATGCTTTAAGTCATTCTTACGTATAGAGAACAATTAACACTGGCAAGATATACAAATAATGAAGGAGGTCAATGGCAACTGTCGTGAAAAACAGAGGATGTTGGTATTATGGTACGGGGGAGGAGGGAGGGTGGGGGGGGGGGCAGTTGCCAGGCCGTGTGGACTGAGACTGAGTGGGAGTGGTAACGTTACTAACGCCAAGTGAACACGAGCAGTGTTACGCTGACGTGTGATAGCTGATGACTAAAGTCGTTGCTATTTCACACAATGATGATGATTATGCTAACATTGCACACACATTGTGCTAAACAATGCTGTGATTATGCTGAAATATTGTGTTTAACAATGCTGTGATTATGCTGAAATATTGTGTTTAACAATGCTGTGATTGTGCTGGAATATTGTGTTTAACAATGCTGTGATTATGCTGAAATATTGTGTTTAACAATGCTGTGATTATGCTGAAATATTGTGTTTAACAATGCTGTGATTGTGCTGGAATATTGTGTTTAACAATGCTGTGATTATGCTGAAATATTGTGTTTAACAATGCTGTGATTATGCTGAAATATTGTGTTTAACAATGCTGTGATTGTGCTGGAATATTGTGTTTAACAATGCTGTGATTATGCTGAAATATTGTGTTTAACAATGCTGTGATTATGCTGAAATATTGTGTTTAACAATGCTGTGATTGTGCTGGAATATTGTGTTTAACAATGCTGTGATTATGCTGAAATATTGTGTTTAACAATGCTGTGATTGTGCCGGAATATTGTGTTTAACAATGCTGTGATTGTGCTGGAATATTATGTAAATATAATTTAGAAAGTGATAACCTCATAGCAGCTGAAAATACAGATGTAGATTTTGCCTTAATGAACCTACGCAATCTAAAAGGCATATGTAAATTGACTTCGTAAGACAAACTACAATAATTACGACTGCATCTCAGCCAGGAACTTACTAAGGAAGGACTTGCGCCCATTGTCATCGTGAAAACTAGAACAATTCAGGTAATTTCAGAAATTTTTTACTTTTTTTTTTTTACTTTTATCCTTTCCAACACTGATCGGCTCGTTAGCTGCTTGGGCGATCGGTCACGTCTGGTCTTGAAAGAGCTCACACTCGGTGCCGTCACAACACTCTGGTAGATTGTTCCAAAGTTCACAACTCTCACTCCGAAAAAGTTTGCCCTCACAGTTTTCTGGACCTGCGGCTTCTTCAATCTTGAGCTGTGACCCCCTTGTGGGGCGATCGTCCGCCAGCTCCAAGTAAGGACACTCGACTGAGTAGTGCCCCTTGAGATGCTTATACACCTCAATTAGGTCGCCCCTTGCCCGTCTGTACTATAAGCTAGACTTTACATTATCCTCTTCGCCACTGATAGGCCTATTATCCGCTTGGGAGTTTGGTCACGTTTCCAGGGGCGGATCTAGCCCCTAAAACTTCACTCACTAATCCCGGCAGCTGGGTCCCCTTGACTGTGATGGTCTCATGGGACCACCCCAGGCCTGGTGGGTCTACTTCTGCTGTTACACACTGGTAGCAAGTACTGGGCACGTACTGACTTCAGAATGTTGGTTAAGTCTGGTCATGAATAAGTTCACACTCGGTGCCGTCACAACACTGATTCATCTAATTAACCTAACGGGTCTGAATACTCCCTCCCTCCTTCCTGCTTCACTACTGCTGGTTTCTCATGGCTAATAGTTATGAACTGTAGTCTGTATCATGATTATCACAAGCTTTTACGATTTATGGCTAGAATTCCAATTTAAATTTTCTGAGATCGAAACTGTTCACCATTTTGATTTACAAAGCACGAATTTAAAATAATATTCTTTGCTTTACAGGTGTAGCTATATGACGAGAGTCGGCTGATGAACACAAGGAACCAATGGCCGCCAAACCACCATTATTAAAGATGCCGGATAAAATCACTGAGGATGAAAAGAACAGTTTCCGTCTTATCAAGATGGCATTCTGCACGGCTCGTTATGTCCTCTACACCATCTTCCTCTGGGGAACTTTGCAGTCACAGAACCAGACACTTGAGGATTATCTTCTCAATACTAAAGTCTATACCATGACCAAATACAAGAACTGTTTTAATAACATGCAGAGGCAGAAAATGACTTCTAGGGATCTCGAAAGCAAATTTGACATCAGTCACTTGTATAAAGCCATTATTCATGCTTGTGATAAAGTAAACTTTGTCAAAGTAGAGCAAAAGGATCCTAATAGCCTTGAATGGTTGATTAATGCCATTAAGGATTTCAGAAATGAAGTAAGTCACTCTATGTTAGGCATAACAAAAGAAACTATGATGGAAAAGATAGACGTGCTCAGAAACCTGCTGGAGAAAGCCTTGGACACAGCAGGACTCTTGTATAACAGAGACCCGGCCGATATAAGGGCGGAGATTGATACCATGAACAAAGACATTAAGTATATACGGGATCAGCCTTTGGCACAGACAGACATAAGTGAATACGAAATTGATTTGCTCAATGAGAAACATAGAGCTAAACTTGGGAAAGAAGGATTAATAGAATTAAAGGAAAAGTACAAAAACTGGTCACAGATAAACCCTGTGTCATTCCTTGAAGGTGAGAGGATGCACTTGAGGGTTAGTACAGTGTTCACCCAGATTGAAGTTGAGGCTGCTGGCCGCAAATTCAAAGGCTCCATTGTACCTTACGAGAATGTACTTTCTTTGTGTATGGATAATGCTTATTCAAAAACCAACAACAATATAAACGCCCCTGTAATATTTCTTATTGAGGGACCAGCAGGGTCAGGAAAAACAACATTGACAAAATTGATGATGTCAGAATGGTGTACTGGTGGGGGGTCCATGCAGGGTCTTAATGAATACGAATTATTGCTCTACATGGAGTGCCGCAACTTATCCATCTCCAACTTTCCTCAGCTCCTCAGTCAGTTGATGCCCCGCACCAACGCTCGGTACTTCAAGGAGGGTGATTTGTTGAAGTACACATTAGACCTGAAGACATTGCTGATTGTTGATGGGCTTGATGAGATGAATTCTAAATCAGAAGAGCTCTTCATGGACATAATCAACCAGAGAGTTGATAACCTTGTTGTGCTTTGTACTTCTCGTCCAGAAAAAGTGCCCTACTTTCAAACACATATCCCTCATGAGTATCGCATTGCTCACCTCAAGATTACTGGTGTTGCTGACAATAAACGGGAAGAGTTCATTAGGAAATACCATGATGAAATGTTGAGGCAAGGGCTAAGTACAGGAGACACCGAGGAAATTGTAGAGTATGTGAAAAAGTCAGAAATCCACCTTCAGAAGCACTACAGGCTCCCCCTCAACCTGGTAGTTTTAGTATGGCTCTGGGCTGATGATAAGGCACGAATAAATGCGGTTACAACTTCCAGTGAGCTGTACTTTGAAACACACAAACTAATGAAGAGGAAGCTCACAGAGAGGCTCGCCCACAATGAGGCCACAAAAGGGGTGGATCGTGATGATTTACATAAAAAAGTGGAGTGTTTCTTGAGCAGCATGTACCGTGAAGCACTTGTGGCACTCCGATGGGACACCTTAGAAAAATTTTTGCCCAAGTCTTTACATCAAATGAAGCTTGCTTGCTCTACAAATAATCTACCTTCCAAAGAGACAATGTCTGCCTTTTTGGTTGTAAAAATGGTAGAAGGAGAGGAACAAGTGAGCATTCCTCACAAGCTACTTCATGAGTTTTATGCTTCACTTTGGATTGTGCAGAGTCTGTTTGATGAAAGTTGCAAAAGAGAGAATGATACTTTGTTTCAAAACTATGCCATGTTCCTCCAAACACAATCAATTGGATCTACATTACAACAGGATTTACTTAATGACGTTATGACAAAATTAACTCAGAGAGTTGAAATTCAGAAACCAGATGCCATCCGGTCTATATTAGCAGACCTGCATAGCGATGATCCTGCCACCCTAAGGATGTCCAAGTACCAATCCTTGCTGCTGCAGGTTGCTGGGGTGCTGTATACTCAACACAGTTCCAAGATTAAGGATTGTACTGCCCAGGACATAGTAGAACTCTTAAAAGAATCAGGACTGGGACACAATGATGATAATGAGTGGTTTGAGCTATTGGATCTTGTAAACAATGACAGTGCAGTAATTAAATATGTATCTAGACATATATGTAATAGTATAACAATTAAAGAGGGTCATATAAGAGCTGCCCTTAAGCTGTTGAAAGATGCCAGGCCCAAGAAGGTTAGAGTCAGTATCAACAGTAATCACCGAAATATTGCAGAATTTCCGAATCTCCTTGAGAGCATAACAAGAATCAAATGTAAAGTAGAGCTTTACTTCCATCATGACTTTCAGCATCCTGGACTAGTGACTACAGATGACAACGAACTCCAGGCTGTAGTTGAAAGGTAATGTGTCTGTATTGTATATTCATATAAGTGATGTAACCTTAGTTTAAGTATTATTATTTATATCTATCAAAGCACCCCATGTACCTACAAAAAGGTTTTCCATTTGATCAGTTCAAGACACATTGATCAATAGTCCTGAAATTCCTCTGCCAATCGTAGAAACAAACCACAACAGCTGTTCCGGCAGTTGGGAATGTGTCCTGAACCACCTAATCAAATGTTAAGGTCATCCTGGAGGGGATTAAGTGAGGAAGGAGACTGATTAATGATACCACGGTACTGTGCTGTTAATAAATAATAAAACAATAGTCAGTCCATTCTTGCGTTAATTTTGAAATGGCTACAATGAATATTCAAAGTTCCATACAGAGAAGAGTGCAAACAGAAGCAGAATGAACAAGGAAGGGATATTTACAGTGTGTGTGTGTCTGTATTATCAGTGATTAATAGAGACCATTAAAGTCCGAAACTAAGACCAAAACCTGCATTCCGAGACCATGACCAAGACTGAGACGTACCTTCCGAAATCTAGACTGAGACCCACATTTAGAGACCAAGACCGAAACCTTTAAAAAACCGATGACGACCCCCGGACTGTAACAAGTATTGGTTTTATTGTTATATAATATATTAAACGGAGTGTAGGAGGGTCAGCCGACATGGGAAGGAGGACGACGGAACGTGTGGGTGTGCCAGGTTCATAGGGGGTAATGGTGGCCTTTTTTACTTTTACTTTTATCCTCTTCGCCACTGATCTGCTTGTTAGCCGCTTGGGCGATCGGTCACGTCTCTGATTACTTTTCCTTTTCATTTATCTTCACCAAAAGATCGGCTCGCTAGCCGCCTGGGCGATCGGTCACGTCACTGTCACGCACTGTTGGCAAATACTGGGCATGCACCGGCTCCTGAATGTACCTGAACCCGCTCCAGTGTTGGTCAAGTCTTGTCTTGTCTTGAAAGAGCTCACACTCGGTGCCGTCACAACACTTTCTGGTAGATTGTTCCAAGAGTTCACAACTCTCACTCCGAAAAAGTTTGTCCTCACAGTTTTCTGGACCTGCAGCTTCTTCAATCTTGAGCTGTGACCCCTTGTGGGGCGAGCGTCCGCCAGCTCCAAGTAAGGACACTTGACTGAGCAGTGCCCCCTGAGATGCTTATACACCTCAATTAAGTCCCCCCTTGCCCGTCTGTAGTATAAGCTAGGCAAGTTCAGGCGCTCCAATCTCTCAGGGTAGCTGATGTGCCGAAGTGCAGGCACCAGTCTGGTGGCCCTCCTTTGAACACTTTCAACCAACTGACATTCCCTAGCATATCTCGGGGACCAGACGGGGTGACAGTACTCCAGATGGATAAGCACTTCACTCTTGAAGATCGTTACGAGGGACGGACCGTCTAGATATCTGAACGACCTTCTTATAAGACCCAATAATTTATTTGCCTGTTTTACCTTCTTTTCGCAATAGCCCGAGAACTTCAGCTCATTGTCAACATACACACCTAGGTCCTTCTCATATTCAGTCTCAACTAGTGCAGTTTCTTCATCCCGTTGGGACATATGATACGCCTCCTTACCGTTGGTATGCCACAGGTGCATCCTCTTACACTTCGTGACATTGAATCTCAACAGCCATTTCTTCGACCATTCCTGGAGCCCACAGAGGTCCTTCTGCAGCTCTTCACAGTCCGCTTGGTTCTTAATTTCCCGAAATAACTTGGCGTCATCGACAAACATTTGTATGGAGGAGTGTACAACGTCAGGCATGTCATTTATGAAACAAACAAACAACAGCGGGCCCAATACACTGCCCTGTGGTACCCCGCTTGTGACAGGTACAGATGACGATTTCGTGTCATTAATCACCACACACTGCTTGCGGTCATGTAGAAAGTCTTCTATCCATGCTAGGACATTTCCCCGAATTCCGTACCCTTCCAGTTTGATTTTCAGCCTTTCGTGGGGTACACTGTCGAAAGCCTTGGCAAAATCTAGGTAAATATTGTCGATATTACCACCCCGTTCCAGAATATGGGTCCAAATATCCAATATCTTGAGCAATTGTTAAGCAGGAGCGCCCCGGCATAAAACCGTGTTGGCAATCCGTTACAAGATTGTTTCGTATTCGATGTTCCATTGCGGCATCTCTGATAATACTCTCAAGTACTTTACATATTATGCTGGTCAGGCTCACCGGTCTATAGTTGTTCGTGGAGTGACGATCGCCCTTCTTGAAGATAGGACTCACATGAGGCAGGAGGCGACAGCGAGTCTTCTAGAACAAGTCAGCCAGATAGAGCAAGTGGTGGAGGAGGTAGTGGAGCGTGAGGTGGATCAGCCAAGTGGTGGAGGAGGTGGTGGGGCGTGAGGTGATGGAGCGTAAGGTGGATCAGCCAGGTAGTGGAGGAGGTGGTGGGGCGTGAGGTGGTGGAGCGTAAGGTGGATCAGCCAGGTAGTGGAGGAGGTGGTGGGGCGTGAGGTGGTGGAGCGTAAGGTGGATCAGCCAGGTAGTGGAGGAGGTGGTGGGGCGTGAGGTGGTGGAGCGTAAGGTGGATCAGCCAGGTAGTGGAGCGTGGATCAGCCAGGTAGTGGAGCGTAAGGTGGATCAGCCAGGTGGTGGAGCGTAAGGTTGATCAGCCAGGTGGTGGAGCGTAAGGTTGATCAGCCAGGTGGTGGAGCGTAAGGTTGATCAGCCAGGTGGTGGAGCGTAAGGTTGATCAGCCAGGTGGTGGAGCGAGGCGATCAAGGTTGATCAGCCAGGTGGTGGAGCGTAAGGTTGATCGGCCAGGTGGTGGAGCGTAAGGTGGATCAGCCAGGTGGTGGAGCGTCAGCCAGGTGGTGGAGCGTCAGGTGGATCAGCCAGGTGGTGGAGCGTCAGGTGGATCAGCCAGGTGGTGGAGCGTCAGGTGGATCAGCCAGGTGGTGGAGCGTCAGGTGGATCAGCCAGGTGGTGGAGCGTAAGGTGGATCGGCCAGGTGGTGGAGCGTCAGGTGAATCGGCCAGGTGGAGGAGAAAGTGGTGAATCAGCCAGGTGGTGGAGAAGGTGGGGCTGAGGTAGAAAACAAGCCAGCCAATGGAGTCGTATTCTTACATGTTGCTAGAATTCTCGTAAACAGTGGTGACTGGAGACAGACACAGTGACAAAAGAATAGAGAGTATACGGATGAATGAATAAGGGAATCCACATTAGTGTTTATAAAGCACAATAGTTCACAAGATACGGGTAAGACTATGGAGGAGAGGTGGGGTGTAAATGGGGCCAGGAGTGGCGTAGATAATGTTTGGCCAACCGGGCGCCATGTTGTTACTTAGCGGGTGGGAAGTCTTCTCGGGCTCTCCCCCACATAGTTTATAAGCATGCTTATGCAATTGTAAATATGTATGACAAGTCTACTGAATAAACACCATCATCACCATCATTCTATATACAGTAGTACGAGCGCAAACTTCATCAGCTCAGTAACAACATGGCGCCCGACTGGCAGAACTCTATCTACGGCTCTGGCCCTCTGGGGTGAGGGTGGGGCCTTTGACTGTCTCAGACGGACATTGGAGGAGTAAAGGACACATAAAAGTTAGGAAGAAAAAACACAAAAGTTTAACTTAACAAACCAAACACACCAACAGCCTGGTGTACTTGATCATTCTATGCCTTAGGTAGCCCTCAAAGTCATAACTGTAAGTCCTCAATGGCACCACTGTAGGAAACCCATTTAGTGACTGTTACACACCCACAAGAAATAATTTATTCTGGGGACTGATAACATCATTACCCTAAAACATAAGTAGAATACCCCCCCCCCCCCCAAAAAAAAATTAATTACATCAGACTAGAATATGGGAAACATGATTTTACCTTGAACCTCAAAGTATTTGTAAGCTTATCCTAATTTGTTCACCCCCTTCTCCACTAAGGTTGTCAGCTAGATACAACTAACTAGGTAGTGACATAATACAACACAGTTTTACTTTACAGGTGTGAAGTGTTAGAGTTTTTAGGTAACCTGAGTGGTGAAGCGGTGTCACTACTTCCCAACAATATTACATTCCTCAACCTGGTAGTTTCAAGTGACAACCATGCTGCCAGCCTCTTCTCACACCTGCAAGTGGTGATCCCAAAACTGCCACTGGTGGGTCTGTGTAAGTATCACATGAACGCAAACATATGGCTTTTACTCATTGTATTAGTGATGATAAGATCCCTAGGGTACACAAAGTTCAGTTGATTCACCCAATCTAACCTAACCTAACCTAACCTACTGACTCCTATGAATTAGTGTCCTGCTTGGTTTGGAGGTAATAAATTTTAGTTTCGGTCATCCGTGTTTTGATATCCAACCAAACCTAACCAGACTAACCAGACTAACCAGCCTAACCTAACCTAACCTAACCTAACCTAACCAAACCTAACCAGACTAACCAGACTAACCAGCCTAGCCTAGCCTAGCCTAACCTAACCTAACCTAACCTAACCTAACCTAACCTAACCTAACCTAACCTAACCTAACCTAACCTAACCTAACCAAACCAAACCTAACCAGACTAACCAACCTAACCTAACCTAACCAGCCTAACCTAACCTAATGTAAAGTAACCTAACCAGACTAACCAGCCTAACCTAACCTAATGTAATGTAACCTAACCTAACCTAACCAGACTAACCAGCCTAACCTAACCAATTCCCCTGACGACTGAAACTAAAATAATGTCAGATTATGATTCATTCACTTCATGTGTGATTCACTCTGACAGTGATCACAAGATGTGGTGGCTTGTTTTTCCCCAACACATGCTTACTGGTATTACCCACTTAATGGTGACATTTTGCTTACCTTATTCCTGAAGGTTCCCCATGACCTCACAATGTTTGGGGTACTGCTTCTGTTGTTTTTTTTTCTCGGTTCGTTTTTGTCTTGTCCTTCATTTTGTCCTTTTTAGCTCTTTGTTTGTCATTGGTACATCTGGGGATAATGTCATGTGTTTCAGGTCACTGTGGATGCAAAATACAGCTATACAGTATTGTCCTGGTGTTGGCGTGTGCTTTGACTCCTCTACCTTCTTAGCTTCCTTGTAGGTTAGGTTTGTTTCGGCTCTCACTTTCCAGATCTCATACTACTTCCCATAGATGAGACGTTTCGTGTCAGAAGCAACATGAGGTCCTGAGCAGTAAAAACATTTTCTTTTCTTCATTCTGCAGTCTGCTTCAGTGTGCCCAGACAGTGCACATTAGCAGCATACCTTAAGACTACTCTCCACTGTGTTCACACCTGTTTCAACTACCAGAGGCTCTGATGGTTGAACCAGCACATGGTGGATGGTAGGTATGTAGGGTTTGGTCTGTAGTCTTTTGAATTGTACCTTGACATGGCTAGGTAAAGACAAAAACATCGACGACTCCTTGATCTGTTATGAAGTGCACAAGACGTATCTTCTTTGTTACTCAATTCCTGAAATTCTTAGCTGGTTACTACGACTTTGAACAGTGGCGTAGCTAGAGTGTGTGCCGCCCGCCGCCCCCCCGTGCCCCCACAAAAAATACATATTGCACAGTGACTCACTCTATATATATATATATATATATATATATATATATATATATATATATATATATATATATATATTAAATAGTTTGTGTACCATTATAATATTACTGTACTTTCACATACTCAAATATAGTATGCTTTAAATACACACCAAACATACTTAAACTTTATAAGTAACAGTTAAACAAAAAGCAAAAACGACATATAGGATAGGGAAAAAAGTAAAAAAGTGTAAAAAATTAGGACCACCTTTATTTCTGAAATTAAAACTACAACTTTCTACAAAGTAACTTTTCTTGTTTTTTGTTGGCAAATTCATCAATGACATTGTCAAAAACTATTTCATCTGTCAATTGTCGCTCTATAGACAGTATGGCAAGATTTCTCAACCGCAAGGTGCTCATAGTAGATCTTAAGTAATTCTTGATCAGTTTTAGTTTCGAAAAACTCCTCTCACAGGTAGCAACACTAACAGCAATTGTGAGGAAAATCCTCAGCATTATTACTATATTTGGAACCGAGTTCCCAAGGTTATACTTTTGAATAAACTGCAAAAGTTCAAGGGGGCCTTCTTTCCACGTCTGTATTCTGTCTTTAATAGTTATAGCAGCAACAGCAACAAAATGCTGAAGTCTTTTTCTCTCAACAGGTTACAGGTTGTGTGTGTGGCGGGGGGGGGGCGCATAGCAAGGGTGTGGCTCATGACGTGGCCGTGATGATGTGGGTCAGGTGTTAGGTCAGACACGACAAGGATTAACTTGCCGCCGATACAAAGGGATGGATTAACGTCTCCAGTAGCTGCAGATATGGGTGATGAGCAGACCCAAAAGTGCCGCCCGGGGCGGGCCGCCCCCCCCCTAGCTACGCTAGTGACTTTGAAGGTGTTGGGGAACATTGGCCCGGTTTGTGGCTCTACTTTAGTGTTGTAGAACGTTCTCAGTTTCAAGACTTTTTCATCTGCTTTCCATCTTTAACATAACTTGGTGTCAGCCATTTCCCATTCTCCGAATATGTATCCTGTAGTGGACGTCTCCCCTACAAACTGCGTATCGCATTCCAATGTGCCGCCTTCCCTAGCAACCAACCAGATGTTACCGTATCTTAGTAACGGAACCAGTCACCGGCGACTTTCTGGGTTTTCCCAACATGACTCATGGCGGCTGCTGCTGGGTATATAAGCTCTGTCTCTCCATTGAGATTCATTCTGACCATTCTTCTTGAACTAGCAACAGCTCCTCCTCCGCCGCTGCCTGGCTGCCCTTCGCTTCTCCTCGCCTGCCTGGCGGCCCTCGCTCCCGCCAGCGAGCATGGCGACCCACCAGCTGTCCTCTGAGCTTCCTCACCAACCAACTCTCATTCTGCACCTCCAGCACCAGACTGTCTATCATATAACTATATTATACAAGAAAACCACATTAGAGTTTCCTTCCATCCTGAGTGCTTGGCAACATTAATATCTCGATACCCCTACAATCCACATCACCATTAATTTTATTGAAAGATAATGTGGAATGTTCTGTTTGGTAATTGGCCACTCTGGTGTTCTCCAGATTGATGTTGATTTTACATCTTTAGGATTGTCGGTCTGAAAGTGGAATTGGAAGTCTTAGGTCATCACTTGAGTACAGTACCGTACTGGCCATTTTACCCAGGTAAATTTAAAAAAACGTAAATAGCCATCCATTATGATGTAGAAAACAGCACTGTAGTATTTTCACCTTTATCCACAGTTCCACATGTTTCTGTCTCTTACAAGATTAGCCTAGCACACTAAGCTGCGTCACTACCAGAAAACATTCTTTATGAATGCATATTTATTTGGGTAATATTCTACAAATGAAGATTCTTTAAGTGTAGATTATGTCAAAAGCTAAGAGTTAGATTTCTTAGTACAGTATTGTATATTGTACTACTGTATTCATGGTTATAATCTTTACAGGTTTGCACATCACTTGCGGAGTGTCTGCAAGTGATGTTACCCAGGTGCCTGCTTCCAACATTCTGCTCTGGCTGTTGCTGACTGATGTTGAGGATGATAACATGACCAGAGCATGTGATATAGTATGCAACTTACTTAATTCTGATAGTATGTGAGTCCCTTAGTGTGTGTGTAAAGTTAGCTCCTCTTAACACCATGTCAGCAGTCACTTGTTGTGAGTATACTATATATTTACAGGTATCCCTCACTAAATGAATGAGTTCGGCTCCTTGAAAACCGTTCATTAAGTGAGTACAGTATTCGTGTATCGGCGTAACATAACATATGGGGAAAATGGGTTTAGCTCCCCAATGACAAGAAAACCCCAATGCTGTATTAAAAAAAAAGATAAGGAAATTGGTTCACAAAAACCTACCTAAGTACAGTCTTTTGACAGAAATAAGCCACTCCCAGTTCTAAGCCACAGTGAGTTTTGGACAGAACTCATGCAAAAAAGCTTGGCCTTCAATTCTAAACTGCACCCAGAAGCTGGAGATCAAAGTCATATTCACATTCAAATTTGTTCATAACACCAGAGATACTTATGTATATGTTATTAAATACTGTACAGTAAACCCTTGATATCTCAGAATATATGGGCCTCTAACCATTCTGAGTTAACAAGGTACTTTCCTCCCATTCTTTTATCCCACCTCAATACCCAACGTTTTGGCCAAAATAACCTACCAGTCAGAAAATTTGCTAAAAAATTAACACTTACCAGAACTGTAGATCAAGGATGATGATAATTCAAGCTTGTGGTGCCATGTGGTGGTGTTAGAGGTGATGAGGGGCTCACTGCACTACAGTATGTACTGTACAGTACAATCTGTATTGTAAGTGCTTACAGCACCAACTTTAAATGTTATTTAAACATTACTGTACATGTATACTGGTTAAATTGTCAGTGTGGGTGGAATAGCACTTTACACATACATGAAAATAAGTAGAGCGATTGTGGGTGGGTATCCTCTCACTAGGCCTACCAACATGTAACCGAGTGCCTGACCGGGCAGTCACGGCAGTGCCTCCCACACATCCTGCATGGGTCACACATGTTATGCCATTCTGAGATTGCATAAATACAGCCCTGTGTCTGTCCGTGCAAGATGCATAGTTTAGACTCTAGTAAAACTTTCCCCAGTACATACAGTACCTGAAAATATTTTGTGATGTGTGAGTTTTCTCTGAACAAGAGAAAATTCGTTTCCATCTCGGAAATCTCTCAAACACGGAACTGCTCTGCACCCATTATTTTGGATAACGGGGATGATGTACTGTGTTTGCATAAGTGAATATTCATAGTATAAACATTCGTGTAGCAATGGTTACCTGTATACTTTACTGTATGCAGTATGATATACCACCTACATACAGTACTGTATATTTGTTATTCTAATTACATTGACAGGTTCATGGACATAAGATTCCCAAGAGCTAATGTCTCAGTAGCAGGATGGGAACAACTTCTGGAGAGACTACAGCAAAGTGGAGTGCATGTGGGTCATATCTCAATACCGGAGGATGCAGAGGTGAATGATGAAGAGTACCGACAGCTCAGGATGACCGCTCATGCACAACTTAGATCTGAATTTCGAAGGTAATAGTACTGCTTGTTTCCCAACTGTAGGGGTGAATTTAACACAGTGTGAGGGGTGGACCCTCTAGATTTGTGAATGCCCTTCTTATAAGACCTACTAGCTCAGTTGCTTGATTTACCTTCTTTTCACATGTACATCAAAATCCTTTTCACGCTTGGTTTCAGTTAATGAAATTTCTTCATGCCATTCTTCCTCAATTGACAGCTAAATATTAATTTTCAATACCATATAATTATCATTTCAACCACTTATCAGCTTAATAGCCATTCACGCATCAGTCTGTTCTTTGTTATGACCTTCATTGTCCAGTGTTAGTACAGGAGGAAACTGGAACACCCAGAGAAAATATGAAATTTTTAGTAGGGTCACACAAGATGACACCCTTCTCATAAACAACCCAGGGATTGAAACTATGATGCAGTGGGGTAAGTGCAGTTCTGCTGCTAGTGTTCTGTTTATTGGTATTTAATATTTATTTTATCCCAATTCATATTACTTAATACCTTATAATTGACCAGTCAATACTCCTGGCTCTAGTTCTCCCAAGAGGAAGACACACACTGTATACAGTACAGTATAAACATTATGTGAAATTATGAAGTTGCTTCAAGTGTACCACATGGAAAAGCATAAAGGGAAACTTATTGATTTTTATAAAAAAATTGTCTTCATATGTATATTATACTGTACTGTAGTTGTATTGTGAAATATTTAAAGTTCCCTAACCTTAGAAAGACAAATGTTTTTCATATTCCATTAAACATAAGATAAAACTATAAATCACGTGCACTCAACTATTTTTTTTAAAACCTGTGGAGTTTCAGTTGAACAAAGTGATTAATTCTTCCCTATGTTTTGAGTTAATGGTGGATGGTAACCGTCTTTTCTTCATTCCAACCAGGTACAGAAATGACATGATGTGGGAGCCAATGACACTTACTATGTAGCTGAAGGTGACCACAAAATGAACAACTAAGATGTTGATATCACATACAGTAGTGTTTCTGCCCGAGTTAAATGTTCAAGGAACATACATTGCTCGTGAGCGTATTTGTTATTTCTATACTTTATTTTATCCTCTTTGCCACTGATCTCTTAGCCACTTGGGCAGTTGGTCACATCTCTGTTACACTGTTGACAAGTACAGGGCATGTACTGGCTCCAGAATGTACAAGTACCTTTACTTGCACCAGTGTTGGTCAAATCTGGTCTTGAATCTACTTACACTCAGTGCCTTTACAATGCTCTCTGGCAGATTTTTCTGATAGTTCACAACTCCCATATTCCACTCAGGTCATGTGAGAGCATTACTCCTTGTGAAGGACTAGGATATTGATCACTATTAGGAGAAATATCATTTATATCCTCTCTTGTGATGTCTGTTCAGATATAGTATAAAGGACTTACTGTATATTATCCTATTCATCCAGATTTCAATGTTTATGAATCAATGAATGTGGAGAAACCTCTTTTGTATACAGTACATAAGCAAATACTGTACTATCTAGCTATAAATGACAGCATCTGATTCACTAATGACAGGTATTCATTGTTTGGTGTTAATTTGGTTTAGCTATAAAAAAATTTGGACACCCTCTCTCTCTTAACGTTATATTAAAATTCAGTTTAGTGACAGCTTGACTCACGAGGAAGGGGAAAACACTGGAGATGAGATGGCCTGTTTACATGTAATGAAATTATAAAAATTGTAAAATAATCATTACAATAACGTGACTTAAAAATAAAGAAAATATATAAAATTATAAAATAAGAAAAATGAAGAGCATGGGTGCGAATGTATGCGTAGAAGATAGTGGGTTGTAACTGTGTCGCTGACTCACCAGCTGACCTGAGCTACCTCTCCCTATGTGACATTACAGCACACACATGCATGTCTATAAGTCAACTGGGCGACTGCCCAGCTGAACTGTGTTGCATGACCCAGGTTATTACAACAGTTCACAACTGTTACCAAGACAACATTATCTGGCAGGTTATTATGACAATTATGAACTCTTACTGTGACATTAACTTGCAGGTTATTACGATAGCTCACAACTCTTACTCCCATAGCTTTCTCTTGCAAGTTATTAGAACAGTTCATAACTATGTTAATATTGTCTGGCAGGTTATTACAATAGCTCAACTCTTAATCTAAAGAAGTTAGGTTTGACAATTATCTGTACAGTACGTGTGGCTTTTAGATCGAGGCTGTGACCAGAATAAGACTATTAAATATGTTTTTAAGGTTTTCTCTCTTAGAGGAGTGTCAGAGAATTACTGTTATGAGCTTTGTAGCTGCAAGGTCATTTGTGAACTTGTTTAAAGTATTTTCATTGTAGCGGCTGGCTCAGGTAGTCACTTTACTAAGACCTATCCCCAAGGGTTGAGTCACTCCCCCAGTCCCATTCTACAAGTCTTGTTATTTTGTCTTATGTTTACCTCCAAATTGATAATGTTCGATGTATATTATTTATATGTCAAATCACTTTATTAAATATTTTAGATAATGTTGCATTTCTTTGCTCAGCATCTCTTCTGTTATATTGTAATTAACTATGCAATTTCTAGTGTAGTCATGATGTATCAGTCTTCAGTGTGAGGACCATACAAATCCACCTTTCCTTATTACTGTATTGTATAGCATGTCAGCAAGTCTATGCTTATGTTTATCCAGCCACTTTATTCTTTTGGTGATTGTCACGACCTCATAGCTGCTATCTCATTAAATTTTAAAATTTTGTATATAATTTAATTTCCCCTAGTTATACAGTATCATTATATGAGCATGGAGGTATCGCTGCAAAAAATAATATAGGAGTAATAACAATGAATGCCTTAACAAGAAGCATTAAATATTTTGAATATGTTTCATTAAGTTTGCAGGTCTGAGTGTGTGAACAGAGTGATTGCAATCTTGTGCCCTTCTGTACAGTACCTAATACCACTGATATTGGACCCACATAGGAGGCTTTACTAAGTAGATTGCAACATATCAGCAGGTAAGATACATGTGTAAAAACAATAACTGATCATGAAAGTGTAAGGGGGTCCCATTCCCTGTGAACGAGTGAAAAAAATAAAGTAAAGGTGGCCACATTTACTATTTCATGAGAATCCTGAGTGCTCATGTAAATATTTTCACTGTGTAGATGTAATCTGTATGAGTAATGAGCTACATTATCACATCTCCAATGTGTATTTAGTCTGGTTTAGGATTAGTCTGCCATAAGATACTGATATCAAATATTTTATAATTTATGTTATTCTTTAAATAACTGACTTAAGAATTTGACTTCAATCATGGTAGCTCAACCATAAACTGTCTGCAGATTGTACTATTTCCCTAAGACATTGCCTTTAAGCTCTGATATCCATGATCAAGTCTAACTAATGGACTACTGGAACTCCTCCAGCATGTGGACTATGTTTACCCTCACACAAACTAACACCTCCCCGCCCTTGGGTTGGGTTGACCACATACAATACTCTGAAAATAGATATGTGTAATGTCTTTCAAATGCATATCATTACATCTCATACAATTCTTTCATACAGTACCGATGAAGTTTATTTTACCACATTGTCTTCTAATTCCAGAGTTTGTGTACTGCACACAAGTGGGGTAACTTAATAATAGGTCAATTGTATTTATCCTCCCCTAACCCCTTTAAAAAAAAAAAAAAAAGTGAGACAGAGAGAGAAAATGTTCAAGTTCCTGCTGGTTAATTTCCACTGAAAGAAGTCACATCTTTTCACCATAAAACAAAGGGTATTTGGTGTTTTCAAAAGCTTACATTGGCACTCCTCTTTTTATTATGTATATAAATTGCATTTATTTTTGCATTTCATAATACACACAAAAATATTTTTAGAGGAATGTAACAGGTGAAGCCTTTACATGACTCAATAAATGATTAATAAGAAGAGATCGGTAAGTATTGTACAAAAGAGGCAATTAAACTGCCAGAGCTATATATTTGATTCAGTAGGCAACAATTAATGTTATCAGTGGCAAATAATTTATCACTAGAAAACATATCCAACATCATCATCCAGTATTATGAAGACACTCAATCTGACATAATCAATCTACTAAAAAAAGTAAATAAATAAAAATTCAGCTAATATACCAATTTTCCTAAATTCTAATATTTTTGTACATATGGCTATCCCCATCACCCACTCTTGGGCAGGGAATTATACAACTGCACTTAGATCAAAATTGAAGTGCCCCACAAGGAAACTTCTTATTCAATAGATATATTATGTAATGTGCAAATAACTTAGCTGCTGTAAAACACTTGTGTTACAATTAGCAGCACAACGTCATATCTAAATTAATTTGTTCCCTATATCTTATCTGTTACAGAATAAACCAGAACCACTTATGGACAACCTTAGGTTAAACCAGTGACAGGGTGATAACATTAACTCATGGCTATAATTACAAAACCAAACAAAAACATAGTATGTTACAGTACTTGGAATAATATATAAATTATTGTTTTCTGTTTTTTATGGATTGTTCATACTTGATTGATGCAATGCAACTACTGTGGAGCCGTCACCACAACCTAACAATGGTGAGCTAGTTGAGAAGCTCCATATTCTAACTTGAAGCTTTCTGATTAGTTACGTAAAGACTCACTTTGGAAGCAATAAAATAAAATACTAAAATGGTTACATGGTTACAATACCTCTTCAGCTGAGTTTTACACACATACACACACACTTCAGTAGTGTAAATCAGAAAAATAAATAAGCAAATATTGTTTACTAGGTAACAGTGAGAAGTTTTATTAACATTCTCTCTGCAACCTTTTTTTTTACTAAACACCAAAGAAACTATTAAAGCTACAAGAAATTAGCTCATCACAGCAGTTAGGTGAAAGTAACTAGTTTTAGCATATCACGAAGAGTTACCCTTTTTTATAGTCAGTGGAGATTGCAATTAAAATTTCACATTACGTACCATAAAAGAATATTACCCAAATCACCATATGTCCTTTGGAGACAATATTATCACTTTATCAACTAAATATTTACTATCATCATATGATTTGACACTTACATGCATTACATACTGCAAAAGAGGATGAAGCTCGGAAATGATCTGTTAACTACAGTATACTTTAAATGATTTGTCTACCTAAATCAAAGATTTTTTACCTTTATCATTAAGCTGAAATTTACTAAAAACTGCATTTGTGATGGTCCCACACAGCAGGTAATTTTGAAACTGGCTTAGCAATTACCATCTTAAATGTAGCTGCCATATAAAAAGAAAACAAAAATATAAAAGGATAATTAACATCTTTCCCAACTATGTTGGTGAGTCGATGTTACTATCAAGGATTTAAGAGTTCACAACACAGCCCAAGAGTAGATTAATGTAGGGGGAATGTTGCACATATCTCCACACAGAATGTAAGGAATGATGTTTAGTATTGGATAATGTCTGGAAATAATAAATACAGTAATTAAATATTGGGTACATTGACTGTCAAAATAATTGCCATCCTTGAAATGTATTAGCTATTTAATAAACAGTAAACCCCTGCTGTATCATAGCAAACTAATTAGGGCATTTATGCTGTGGTGGGGCTTTCATGACTGGTAGACCAGCAAGTCCAGCTTGGTAACACACCAAGTCCTTGGCACATCCCCATGTAGCTGCCTATGGATGCTTTGGCCCTTGTCACTTTCCCCACTGGCTGCCTGTGTATGTTTTGGCCCTTGTCACTTTTCCCAGTAGCTGCCAGTGTATGTTTGGGTCCTTGTCACTTTCCCCTGTAGCTGTCTATGGATGTTTGGGTCCTTGTCACTTTCCCCTGTAGCTGTCTATGGATGTTTTGGCTCTTGTCACATTTCCCTATAGCTGCTTGTGTACGTTTTGGCTCGTCACATTTCCCTATAGCTGCCTGTGTATGTTTTGACTCTTGTCACATTTCCCTATAGCTGCTTGTGTACGTTTTGGCTCTTGTCACATTTCCCTATAGCTGCCTGTGTATGTTTTGACTCTTGTCACATTTCCCTATAGCTGCTTGTGTACGTTTTGGCTCTTGTCACATTTCCCTATAGCTGCCTGTGTATGTTTGGGTCCTTGTCACTTTCCCCTGTAGCTGCCTGTGTATGTTTTGGCTCTTGACACTTTGCCTTTCATCACTTGCTAACTCAACCAATGGACCCTCAGGCACTTTCGCCCACCCATCATTTAAGTTTAAGAAGGCAAGTATGAACTCCCTTGCTTGGCGCTGTAATGTTTCTGCACTTCGCCTTACACAGGATATCGGGGTACCCAAGAAACTAGTCCCTACACTGCAAGGGGCAAATCTGAAATGTGGACATTAAATTTTCACCAAGACTCTCCTTAACTAAATGTGTGTGTTCGTTTACTTTATCTCCAGTCATAGGAATAAAATTTAAGATACAGAACCTTCTAAACTTCCCACAAGTTAATTGTATCCCCTTAGCTAGTGTGAAGTCTACAGTAAGTACGTACTTAGCTAATGCAGTTTCAGCATAATTGTGATGTTACTTTTTGATACTTTTGTGATTCACCTGTAGTCCACAATCTAGGTACAATACATTTATAATCTCATTTGAGGAATATTCCCAATATAAACCTTTAAAGGTCTGGACCCTGGGGTGAAACATGTTAGATGCACCATATGGGGAGCATGGACCAATGAACACGAGTCACAGTTCTAAGGCTGTTCCATGTGCGAGCGTCTTGTGGCATCGAGCGACCAGAGCGTACACGCGCGACCTATTTTCCAAAGCGACCTGTGTCCCAACAGCCTGCATCTGTCAGCGTAAACATGCCATCTATGCAGCGCAGACGTTTGCTGGTACTTTAAGAAAATACTGCTTTTCAACATGGGTTACCTGCAGAGGTACCCAAGAAAAACATCCCACATATCAAAAGAAGAGGGAAGTACTCTTGGCGAATTTCACCATCTCTACAAGGAACTTCACTAAGATCCAAAGAAGTTTCACGAGTATACACCAAAATGTATTCTGATTGGGGACGAGGCCTACCCACTCTGTGTATATTTGTTGGAACCCTATGCTAGGAATGCTCTGAACAAAGAAAAAAAATTTAATTACAGATTGTCACATGCTAGGCGTGTTGTAGCGTGCCTTTAGGAATTTGTACAAGCAAATGGAAAATTTTAAATAAAGTTATTAAAACAAAGGTAGATACTGCTGTTGACATTGTAAAGTGTGCTACACTTTTCCATAATAACATCATTGACAAAGAGGGTCTGGATGCAAAGTCATATGCAATTCAAGAATGTACAGTTGAGAATAACACAGCACCCTCTAGAATAAGCAATGCTTCACATTCTTCTGCAAAGAATGTGACAAACATTTTGCAGCTAAATTAATAGTCCACAAGGATCTATTTTTTCGCAAGATCAAGCAGTTAACACTTGAAAATTAATGCATAACCTTCTTTAGTTGTGGTGTAGAATGTGAAGATCGACGATCAAAATATTTGATCGCTGCTTCCAGGTCGCGCATCTAGTTCCCGCTTTCTGGTCGCTCGCGAGTGCTTCACGCGTCTAAGTGAGACACATAAAAGAAAACACATGTTTGTCTGCTACACCAAGGTAGCGTGTTTACTCGTGTAGTCGCTCGATGCCGCAGGACGTTCTCACATGGGACATAGCCTAATGCAACAATCTATACATACTGTAATAATGTGTTCTACTGCTTCTGCAGACTGTGACCCAAATTTCACTCTGTATAAAGTTAAGTGCACCAGTCACATATTTTGTGGGTTGACAATGCAACACTGTTTTCTCCACAAGCTTAAGGTTAGGAGTATTATGGCTGCTACAGGGGTGCATTACCATGATACAGCAGGGAATTACTGTACAGAGAAGAGTATTTCACGATAAATAAGAAGTACCTGTTAATTAATATTGATATCATATACATGTATACACTGTACAGTATAAACTCTGTAATCAGGACACTCATGGGACTTACATAAAGTGTCCACATTAGCATGGTATCTGCTTTAATGAATGTGGAAAAAAAAAAGTCTGACTTCCATCAATTGGTGTTATGAAGCATGGTGAATTTACCCGTTTATATAGGCTATGACATTATAAAGTAAGTAGCTAGACTCACTGAGTATTCTAACAATCACAAATGTGCATGGCTTTCTATAACACCAACCCTCCAACTCCACCATAACACTACTATATAAGCACTGTCCTTTTGCTGGGTGGGGAGAGATCCACACTTCTTTTTATCTCCTAGTGGTAATGACTTCACTGTCACATGGAATAAACTGTCCTGGCCATGGCTGAACTAACTAGGTGATACTCTCTCCCAGAAATACATCCTCAATCACCATGCTTGTCCCTAATCTCCCTCCCCATTACTATACATAACCTCAGAAGACAAGACCTCCAATCGGCCAACTGTGAGACACCTCTGATGCCAACTACAGATGCCAGGTACCTACTGTAATCTCTGCTTCCACCAACCTACTGTGCTCAAGCCAGACAATACTCAGGTAAGTAGGTGTCAGATGAACCAAGTTACAGAGGTTGCTAATGCTTGGAACTGAATAATGTGTCCACGTGACTGATTAGTGAGGTGGCCACAGTCGCTTCTTAATATTTAATGAAAAAGTATCAGTAGCAAACAGGTTTGAGAATATAATTATTATCTACTGTACATCCATATGAGATGTTTTCCTGGTTTCTGAGTGTCCCGATTTTTTGGTTCAAGAAAAAATGGTGAGTGTGAGTGTGTATATGTGTGTGTGTGTGTGTGTGCAGGTATGTGTGTGTGTGTGTGTGTGTGCAGGTATGTGTGTGTGTGTGTTGGTGTGTGTGTATGTTGGTGTGTGTGTGTATGTTGGTGTGTATGAGGGAGTGTATTAAGAGAGTGTGTGTGTGTTTAAGAAAAATAAATAAAATAATATGTCTTACAACAATGAAGCGATAAAATTCTTCTGCAGGATCTGTACTAGCAACACGGTGTGATACAGGTGCTGCCGCCTATCACAGAGCCCACATTAATGTTTTGGACAGCTTTAGAGGGGATACCAAATACATTAGCTGTAATATCTAGCATAAAAATAAGCTTAAGTGGAATCCCATCTACAGCTCACTTATAGTCCTGTCAACCATCTACAGCTTCTTACAATCCTGTCAATCATCTACAGCTTACTTATAATCCCTGTTTGTCAACTGTCTGCAGCTCACTTATAATCCTGTCAACTATCTGCAGCTCACTTATAATCCTGTCAACTATCTGCAGCTCACTTATAATCCTGTCAACCATCTGCAGCTCACTTATAATCCTGTCAACCATCTACAGCTCACTTATAATCCTGTCAACCATCTACAGCTTACTTATAATCCCTGTTTATCAACTGTCTACAGCTCACTTATAATCCTGTCAACCATCTACAGCCCAGTGATAATCCCTGTTAGTCAATCATATTGAATGTTGCAAACTAAAAATATTTAGGAAATTGTATATTCTCATCTAAGTCTACTTCATAGTGTATATTTCTGCGGTCCACTGAGAACATGCAATAGTCAGGACCTGGCAAGACCTGGTATGTTTAATAAGCATACTGACCAGGCCACAGATAATAAATACATTGGAGCTGCTCATTTGACCATACACACACACAAGCCCTTAGGTAAAGGTAAATGATAAATGTTCCCCAAAAATATAGATTAGGTACAATATATATATATATATATATATATATATATATATATATATATATATATATATATATATATATATATATATATATATATATATATATATATATATATATATATATATATATATATATAAGAGAGAAGAGAAGAGGAGAAAGAGAGATAGAGTATTGCACAAATGTACCTATTAATTTACAATGGTGATGACAGGCACAGCCTTGTGGAATTCCTAACCTAAATGAAAGATTACAAATATGGAAAATAGTTTCACACCAAATGCTGTACAGTATTCCACCAAGTACAGTACTGTAATGTGCTCATATAGGACACCAGGGTGATGTACCTCAACTCCAAGGACTTTACTGAATTTTGTTAACTGCCAATTACAAATAAAGTTATCATTATAATTCTATTTTCTACAGAAATTAAAATATGTATACTATATAAATATATTTATATATAATGTAAAAATTAACCCAATTTACTTGGATACAAATAAATATTATAGAGAAATATATTTTGCAAATTCTGTTAGATATTTAATCCTTCTGTATAAGTTTAATATTACTAAAGTTATATTAAAATTTAAGAAATCATTATTTATGTTAAAATTCAAGAACAATCAGGTCAAGTGTATATGTTTAAATAACTGTTATGCAATGCCCTTTGATAAAATATATCTGAGGCAGTGTGAACTATTGTATATAATCTGGGTCAAACCTTTACTTGCCATTCTTTCTTAGCATAACAGATGTAATCAATGAACATGTGCAACCAAAACCTGACACTCTGTAAATCAAATGATCCTAATGAGAATATTGGTTTATACAGTACTGTACAGTATATTGAAATAGCAGTAGAAATAAAACATATAGAATCAGATAGCAGCACGTCTTATGAGTGGATGTTACTAGTCTGCAAAAGCTTGGATTGTATATTTCTAAAGGATAACTTACATTACTTAAGTACCAAATCACTGCCTCATTTAGTTGTGTAGTAGCCAAATACATGGCACAAAAGAGATTTGTAAGTAAATCACAATGTAGTGGTCACTACTGGGCTTATTTAGCAGTGAGAGATGCCATGGCCCGTATTAGGGCAGTGTTCTCCTGCCGCAAATTAGACCTTTCGGTGCAGGCTTGAGTGAGCTCTCCAGTCAGTATAGAAAGTCGAGATTCTAGAGAAGAAATGCGACGATCACGCTCTTCCAGTAAACCCAACAAACGACGATTTTCCTCGCGGGCACTCTCCAGAAGCTGCAACAAATAAAACATTATTATATTTTCCTCATGGAACTCTCCAGATTGCAAAATATCAAAATGAAGTATTATTACATTTCACACTAGGTGGCTGTTCAAGCCACTGCACACAGTCATCCAGTATATCTTATTCCCATATGGAAAAATCACAGACATGCTTGCTTTTCCAATCCTATCTTCACATTACCGGTATTCTTAACTCAACTCAAGTCATCATGGATTTCCAGCAGGCCCAGGCCTCTTGATCAACAGCATGCTGTATTTGGAAAATTTCTTTATAATTTGGGTAATTTTTTAATGCATGGTGGCCATTACACTGAGCATTGCCAAGTGGCAGAATATCCATTGGGTCATTGTTAGTCAACAGGGAACACAAGAATGATAACCAAAGATTTAAGATACAGTATTGAGAAATGGCAGAAGAGCACTGGAGGCAGTTGGTGAGGGGTGTGTAATGGGAAATGAACATACCCAAAGTTCTATAATGTATTAGTTATACAAAATAACTCAAGGTTGAAAATAAGAACAGTACAGGCAGCTCCGATTTACAAAAATCCTGTGCCCGGCTGGGCTCCACCCCCCCCCACCCCAAAAGTCCTGTGATTAGATTTAAAAAAATATTAAAAATCTGGTTAGAAATTTTTTCCTCTCACTATTTTCATAATTTTTTTTTTGCCAAGTAAAAATGTAAATAATATAATGCATTTTTTTTACTACCAATACACTTACTTGTAGACAGTAAAGGATTCCTAACTTGCTACATTATTTTCTAACACTCGCAATGTTATAAAATCTACATACAAGTTTTAAATGTGTCACTTTTCTCCAATAATAACTTACTTCTCAAACTCACCAGGGACAAGTAGACTCACTGCCACCAACACAGCCCAAGAGCTTGATTTACATATTGTATTTTTGCCATACAGAACTAACACAGCATCTTTGGACCTACATATGTAGTGAGGGCAATGTTGTCTTGTCTTTTTATTACCACATATTTCAACCCAGAGAAGCAAAGATGGAGAGAGTGTAATCTAATAATAAATTAAATCAAAATGCCTTTTCATAATCAAATTAAGACATGGCTACTCATGTAATAAGCCAAAACGTTTCCACTTCATGCTTCATTCCCACCCCACAATTATCCTCTCTTACTTGTATTTTAAATCTCTAGCAGTCATAAAAAAATATGTTACAGTACAACAATGGATGCCATTTTATAACACTGAACCATTCTAAATTTATTACAAACCCTGAATGCTACAGTCTTTATTTAATAATGTTAACAATATTATCATAATTAATGTTTTAAACCCCTGACTGAAAAGTTTAATGTCATAAAATCCGTTCTAAGACACACTTCTCATTCATCTTTGTACTGTATTGTATTGGGCAAAATTTGGACCAAAGAAACTGAACACTACAATTTGAAAAAAGGATGTTGTTTATGTAACATACTTCATCTACACTTTCAGATGTAGGTGTTGCAGGTCGACCGTTGGCTGGCTGACGTGTAGTGTGAAGGCTATTGGTGGGATGACTACTTGTTATGGCAGACGAAGCAGGTTGTACAAGGGATAAAGTTGAGTCACTCATGGTCAGAGAATCATAATCTTGGTTGTCTTCATCATCTGCTTCCAAATCACTTGGGCTGCAACATAAATATTTTGCACAATAAGGATTTTGTTTTTTTGCAGTGGTAAGGCATTTTATAAAGACTGATAAATCATATCTTTCGGATATAGTACAGTATTGTACCTAAAAATATGAGTAGCAGCCATGGCAGTAGCCTGTCCTTTCTAGAGATAATATGGTTAATAATATGGTGCAAAACATTTTACCAAACCCTCGTGTTACCAAATTATATATTATATAACAAAAATCCTGTACATATGTATTGTGACAATTTATCTGGACTAAAAACACAAACTTTTTCACATACAGTACCTGTATTATATACCAAACAAAGTTCGGTGTCAGATGAGTTTTTTGGAGACGTTTTATATTGCAAAACTCCCTATAACAAACTGGCAGCTCACCAATTATTTTGGCATACAGAGGTAATGCTGTAGTACAATATATGTGTTTCCTCTGTACTTACAACCTCCTGCTCCTACTCACAAGTGTTTTAGTGTTTACCTCAGAGGGTTTAGTAGCATGGTCTTGACCCCTGACCCAGCAACCCAAAATCAGTAAGGACCTTCTTCCTCGGGGCAAGATACCTGAGTAACATCACGTTCACCAGTAAAGAAAAATAAAAATTACAGGTAAAACACCAAATTGTTCATGGGTGGATGGACAGATTCTCACCTGTACCATAACGCATCACATCTTTGACAAGTGAATGAGAGATTGACTGTACTCAAGTAAAGTGTTGACTCACTCTCAATGGTGCATTTTTTAAGTTGTGACCAAGACCTGTCACCCTAAAATGATAGGATGTGTAAAGACTGACATGGTTATATGACAAGTATGACCACCACAGCTCTTTACATTATGCTGTAGACAAGGGAATAAACAAAGGTGTGACCTTGACTCTTTGCTCCAAATACAGGCAGGCAGCTCTAGAGGTTGACAAGAATAATTTATATATGTTAGGTATGAACATTCCAGCTCCTGTTACCGAATTATGCTGCAAATATATGTAGTTAAAAAATTTACGAGATGTGTGTGCAGGTGTAGGTCTAACTTATGTCAGTCAGATAGTTTGAGTAAAATTAGCTATAAAATTTTGAAGATGACCCTTCAGTCAGTTTGTTAAGAGGTAGTGACTGTGACAATCAAAAAGTATCGGCACATTGGTGGAATACCAAAGGCAAATTGATGTTCTTAATATTTCTTTTTTCAGGAGAGCAATTCATAATAAATCAATGAAGATTGGGCAACAAGGACCAATCAAATGTCCACTAAGGTCTATTTACCTCTCAATTTTTTCTTCTGGGGGCAAATATAATCTGTAATTTACCAAGATTTTCCCCAAAAAAATTTAGGTGACCCAAAGGAAATAAAAAATGAGAGGTGTCAGGTCCAAAGACCTCAATGGCCATTTGACTGATCCTTGACACTCAATTCTTGTTGACTTCTTGTGATATCCTCATTTGAACAAAAGCTACAAGAGAACTTTAATTTTCATATGATGTGAGATCTATGAGACACCCCATACAATTTATTTTTTTTCAGGAATAATAATGTCTATTAATTTCAAATGGATCCATGTACCATTGCAATTATACAATGCGAACTATAAATAAAATATTGACAAATTTCCGGTTGACTTACATACAGAAAGACTCGTGATATGGGCGATGGCATTTCTTCTCAGCCAAAACTGTCAATGGGGTATCGCTCTTAGCTTTTACAAATTACAGAATTCAAGTTGGATGTACCCAACTGACCTTTTATTTCTATGACTTGTAAATGATTTCTTGTGCTTATGGTCAGCCATGGCTTGAGGGCCTGGAGCAGCAGAATGATGGTGATCACCAGATCCTGTTGCACTTTTTTCTTTCTCCGGGTGTTCGTTGTAGTGTGTGTTGCGCCGGGTCTCAGCCGTCATTGATAGCAGCTCCTCGTCCTCGCCGGTGCTGCCTCCTGTTGACTGTGAGCACAAATGGCCTCTCTTCAAAAACTGGTGTGGATAAGCCATACCATTAGATATATTTTAAGAATTTTATGCTTTGTAAACTACAATGCATAATTGCCATCAAAACTCATCTGTTCCTCCAAAACACTACGAAATATTAATGGTTATTATTTAATCCACATTAGAATATATTCTACTTACGGAACACTGCAGGTGGACGGTGCTTAGGTATACATTTGTCTCTTATTTGGTGGTTGGTTAGCCATACTTTTAGATCAATATACCATAGCACCTTCATAATACATATAAATAATAAATAAATATCATAAAATTGTATAACATTAATTAAATAACACTCCAATAATGCGCAGAGCTTGGCGGGCTTCCAGCCTGACGCTGCCAATGGACTCGGTAAACAGTTGCTGTTCAGCTTGGTTTTCATAGTTGTGCTTCTGACGAGGATGAGATAAACACTTCCTTTCCAGTCTTTTATGGTATTACTGTACCCCCATTCAACAGTAAATGTGAGGAATTAATAAAATAATACTAATAAATAAAAGATTACAAATACTGCATTGCCATTTAGCCATTTTTTTCACTACACATGGGACAGAGAAAAGAGTGAGCAGCTGAGATTCAACCATGCAGCTTCCCCGATCTGTGTGCTAACTCCCACACACCAAGAAATGTTTATTCCCCCTATGCTTTTGACTTTATGATAAAATTATTAATTTTTCTGGACATTCTATATGAGAGATTGTGTGTACAGTAAACTTAAAAGAGTAAAAATATTGAGAAATTTATGTAAACAGGAGGTCCCCGAGTTACGAATGCCCGCCGATAGGAATGAGGTTAAAATTTAAATTGAAAATATTTTATTTACCTGATGACTTATTTTTTACTTTCATTTACTGTATTTTGTCATTTTATTTCTTCCTTTCTCTTAAATGAAATGATTTTAGATGTATATAAGGACTCACGCTATGACATTGTGGGATTTTAAACACTGTTATGTAAGAATGGTAAGCACAGAGCATTTGTTTCGACTTAAGAACGTCCTCAGAATTGGAACCCTTTCGTAACCCGGACACCCCCTGTACTGTATCTACCTTAATTTATGAGTTGAATAATAACCATAACATAGCTCACAACTCAGCCTAGTAGGGAGAGGGCTAGGAATATGTGGCTACAGTGACGAGTCTAACTTGTCAATATGCCACCAGCAATGTAAACAGATGCAGTTAAAACATACAGCTTTTAATTTCCAATAATATATAAGCACAGAAATGTTGCCACACACTAGCCTGCACTACAGTATACTGCTTACTGTATGTGCTCAGCATGGACTGCTCTCAGATGCCTGTGTTAGCAACTCGGCATCTTCCAATGTTACGAAAAAATACAGCATTTTTTCCCGTAAAATTAGCGTTTTCATTTGTATGGCAAAGTGTTGGAGCAATTTTTTTTCTGCATAAGCAATTTTTTGTAAATCGATGCTACATAAAATCAAAGCACTCCTATATAAAAAAAAAGGGTTTTTAACCTTAAGAAATTAAATAAGTTCCAAAACAAAGATAAATATTGTAGTGTTGAAGCGCCTGTTTCTCTCCTTACCTCTGTAGAAGGTAGATGAACAACACCAGTGCTCCGTCTCTTTTCTCGCAGTTTTCGCCGATCTCTCTGCTGCTTTCCTTTGTTTGTGTGGTTTGGTCTATTGGGCAAGGGAAAAGGTGAAAGATGTTTGATAAGATACAGTAATCGTAGAAGCTATTCTTCATACACACATAATGACGATAGATGGACTGTACTATGTCAGAATAAGCCAATACACATTTAAATTATCTTTTATAATCATATGAAAGTAAAAATAAGCAAATGAACAAAAGATCACACAATGAGAAATACTGCACCAACCTGTCGAATGAACATAACTTCAGTCAAAGTGATCATTTTGAAGGCCATCAGACCAGGGGTGAAGATTCTTTAGTTTTTTTTTTTTGGCAGACTGTACACTACAAGTTGAACTTTACGTACCTGTTCACCCTCTTTTCCTTGAGTCTGGTGGCAGGCTTGGGACTGGCATCATGGTCAGGAGCACCAGGAAAGAGCCCTCCACCAGTTCCAGCATCACGCTCACTTTCCTCACATTCTTCATCTGCTTCGCCTGTTACCCAATTTCACACATAATAAGACTATTGTACATTATCACCCTAAATACTTAAGCTAAGCAATTTCTACACGATAAAATCAGGTTGTGCAGATTAGCAGTGCCAAGCAGCCGGGATGTGCCCAGACTTGGGGCTCGGCAAGTGATTTTTCATGACCATGTGCCTGGCACTTGTTCAACGGAGCTAAAATTTTGAAAGGTAAATACCTAGATGGGGATTTTTCAGGTGAAGCGTGACTCCCAACTCCCTGTACACGTTCAACCAGGGAGGTCATCAGTGTACAGTACGGGAATTAGTGACCCACGTCAGGTGCAGATATTTTATCTCTACATTAAGCCACCAACCCGCCTCTAGTCAGTCAGTGTCAAGTTGTCAATATTTCAAAGGGAACACCAAACTGAAAGGCTGTAGACATGAGGTGGCAGGAGTTATGTTATCACATAACAAGGGTTACTACCACTGACACCATTTAGATGGACACAAGTGATCTGTGAGTTGATACACATATAAATTTGAATGTGTTAAAATGCTTATTAAATTATTCCCATAAAACAATATTGTATAGGCAAACATTCCTCCAAAAATCTGTCAAGGTATTTGTCACAGTCTTGGACACAACTGATGTGTCTGAAAACTTTTGTTACGCTCATGGTCTTGGACTCACCAGCTTTGCCTGTAGATAATTTTATTCAAGTTCAGTCTGGTCTGTGGCCTAGAGTGAGGAGTTACTTGCACACAGACATTTAAATCCTATTAAACTTCCCTTCCCTAGATTACATGTGTGTGTGAATATTGTTGACTGTATATATTGTGGATAATTATCAAGAATATTGGGTGATAGTAATATCCCCGTTAGCTGGAACAATTGGTGCAGTGCATTTCCGGGTTTTGTACTACAGATATTCACATTATGGATAATTCTCCAAGAGCATATCTCTTCTGTAATGCAGAGGATGCCAGGACTGTACTGTATTTGGATTGAATATAGATGTACAAAGTTAATAACCTTTATTCATTCCTTCGTAGAATTGAGGCAGTTTAAGAAAAAAATTAGCAACAAAAATAGAATTAGTGGTAGTAGTGGTAACTTTTGAAATGTTTAGCGTTAAGTGATAGAGATGCTAAATTTTATGGTATTGTAGTTAGCGGAAACACCACTGCAACCATGGCACCCCTAACTACTTAACATACAACACTGCAAAATATTGTACTCCTACTGAGATTTACTTACATATATAGGACAATACTTATACATTGAACTTATCAGGTGTATAATATTCATCTCGCTTTCTTCTGTTCTTCACAATTATAAAAAAACAACATACTGTACTCCACCAGTTAACTGCTATGTATAATACAACACTACTTTACACTCAAGCACATACTGTACACTACATAATGTTTTTACACAACAATATATAAAGATTCAGTTTAAAAAAAAACAAATCGTCACAGATTATCATATCAACTTAGATACTTTTTATAAATGTACACATCACTTACTTATTAAACTCACCATTTTTGCAAGTTTAAATTCATAAAAGGATTCCTAAGTAACTGTAACAACAATAATCAAAGTAGTGAACATACACAGTACTTCCAGAAGCTGCTCCATGGCGTTCCTGTAACTGACTATCTCAAATGGTACTGATAGCAAAGATAAGATGATGCAAACCCATACTTGAACACCACAACCTACATACTGTACTGCCATGAGATTACTAAACAGCCAATTCTATGCAAAGATGACTTCAATTAACTCAAAATAAGGTTATTATAAAGGGAAAATTATTGTCTTAGAATAATCCTTTTCCTTTCATCTAACACCTGCACGTGGTAAAAAACTTTAGTGGTACCTGGGCGTGAGGTGGGGTTGATGTTCCTGGCTCTAGCAGTGCGGATACGAGATCGACGCGAGGAAGTCTCAAAGTCTATGTCCACATCCTCTTGACTCACAGAACTTGATGCCATGATGCCTCACTGCCCTGTGCGACAAGTACCTTAATTTCATTTCATAAGAAACTGGTGAGATAATTTTGTTCAGTAATTCGGTTGACACCTTCTTTACTACCATGTATATTAACTGTATATCAATGTCCTTAGTAGTTACTACACATTTTACACCATGAATGATGATGAGTGGGATGACTGTGGAGCCTATGTCATGTTGTGATGAATGGGATGAACCTAGAGTCTATGTCATGGTGTCACTGGCTGTTGAGTGGAGAGGAGGAAGAAGGATAAGAAATAATGGAGAATCCATCTACAGTACAACAACAACTCCGAGATGGACCACATAAACATCCATGTTGGCACTCACTGACTTACAGTGAATACAGACCTAACCTAAATTACTAGTTCTTTGCAATTGTATTCATATAAAATAGAATAGGATTTCTTTCTGTGAAAAGAACCATTCCTACAGCCTAAACATAAGGTGGGTGGCAAGATCATGTCTGGCCATCTTCCTCCGCCCAGTTTGCCCGTCGAAACTGATTTATCGCAAAATGTATTCCTCTTGCATTTTTTGTTTCTTAAAGTAAAAAAGTTTTTATTTTCTATGGAGAAATTATTTCTTACATCACCATACCTGCAAAAACAAAAACTAACCTAAAATAATATCCTAAGATAGATAGGTTAGGTTGATTTGGTTTGTTCATCTTACCTATGATAAAACATGTAGTATACTGTAATGTAAACAGTGAATATGGTATTACTATGAGTTAGCATGGTAAAGATTTGTTGTATAGAACAGTATGTTCAACTGGATTTTTTATTACTATAATAGTTTTTTTTTTATATGAACGAATCTTACCTTTATTTTTATTTTTGGATTATTGCTTATTTATGGAGATATGACCCATTCAACACAAGCAACAACAAATTTGGGGTTAAAAACACAAACACAAACACACACAAAAAAAGGACCTTTTGAGAACCCAACCTAACCTAACCTATATTATAACCCATCTCATCAAAAACCTTACCTTAACCGATGGACGACCAATCACTGTTTCCGTGAACATTGTTTCATAAGCTGTGAATTATGCTTATGTTTAGTAAACGTGACCTGGACATGACCAAGATACAATGGTGTAAGGATTTTAAATTCGCGAAATACGTTTTCACTGAATATTGTATTCAACTCTTTCATATGACCTGCTTTGACCAATCAGAGGACAGTTCAAATCTCTAGGCAGATGTATGTATGTGCAAAAATTTCATCTATCAGTACAGGTCATTCACTTTCTGGCTCCCTCGTAACCTAAATACTGAAAGCACGCAAAAATAAGAAGAGAACCACTATGTCCTCCGGTATAAGAAGAGAACCACTATGTCCTCCGGTATAAGAAGAGAACCACTATGTCCTCCGGTATAAGAAGAGAACCACTATGTCCTCCGGTATAAGAAGAGAACCACTATGTCCTCCGGTATAAGAAGAGAACCACTATGTCCTAAGAAGAGAACCACTATGTCCTCCGGTATAAGAAGAGAACCACTATGTCCTCCGGTATAAGAAGAGAACCACTATGTCCTCCGGTATAAGAAGAGAACCACTATGTCCTCCGGTATAAGAAGAGAACCACTATGTCCTCCGGTATAAGAAGAGAACCACTATGTCCTCCGGTATAAGAAGAGAACCAACCACTATGTATCACTCCGGTATAAGAAGAGAACCACTATGTCCTCCGGTATAAGAAGAGAACCACTATGTCCTCCGGTATAAGAAGAGAACCACTATGTCCTCCGGTATAAGAAGAGAACCACTTTGTCCTCTGTTATCAGTTAAATAATGTATTTTTCTTTAATAGGAATAGAACTTTCCCTATCTTTTAAGTCCTGTCCAATTTGGAAGGATTCACTGACTGTGGTAAAGTCATATTCGTCCAAAACAAAACACAAACTATTTTATTAATAAAAAATCCAGCTGAGAACAAACAAATCTAATACCTGGAATGACAACAGTGTTTATAATGGGGGAAAAAAGTAACCAAAATTATAATGAGGAAATTGCAACTGGGATAGTCTTGATAAGAAAATTTACCTTAAGTTGCTAGCTAACCTGGATCTGTCCTAGAGCATTGCATGACTTTAAGCAACCTAACTTTATTAATTAGGGTTGTTGTGGCCAATAGGATACCTTGTGCACTAACGACCACTGGTTTGTTACAATAACCACCCAGCTGTGAAAGGACATCAAACTTTAGTCAGGAATGTGAAGTACCATGTCAGCTACACTTCCTCCTTAGTATGTGGTGTGGTATACTGCCTCTAACAGGTTCCCTAGCCTACTGATGCCACTTTTCACCTTAATTGGTCTCGACAGGTGATGAGACTCCTCCCTCTACAAAGACTCAACCTGACCTCACATTCATTACTCGCTTATCCTGTAACTTTTCTTTTATTTAACAAGCTTCTACTTTCTTTGACATAGTATTAATCTAGATGCTTCATAATAACAAGAATGACATGACTGGTGTATAAGGTCGCCCTGTTACTAAGTTTCCCTCCCTATATCACACCCTCGCCATATTTCCTCTCCTCAACCTTCACTCTCTCACCACAAGACATTAAATGAACCTTAAGGAGGATATTAACTTACTTCTTAATGTCTAGGTGAGAATCATAAGCTCCATTAGATCTACTGAGGTTCTATGTGGTGAATTACGTCAAGTGTCTCAGCGGCCAGTCCTCTCTTGTCACTTTCAGAAAACATCGACATTAAACTATAAATGATATAATAGACGGTGGTATAAATTTCAGGTCAGAGAAATATAGAATTGGATTGTTTTTATATAATTTGTTGTGTGACTGATCCTTTCTTTTATGCCTTCAGATGGTTTTAAATTCGTCTTAAGCATTAATATATGACAAGTTCTCCTTCTTATTGGAAAACTTATTATTTATATGAAAATAAACTGTTTTGTCGTTTCATAAGTACTATTTTTATAGATAAAAAATATTGGGTTTAATAATATGGCAAAACTAACCACTTTTATCTACGCGTTAATAAACAGAACCAATGGCATTTCCTATATCGTTTCAGGTATATTTTTTGAAACTCACCATATATAAATTTTATAATAACATACCGAAAAAAATATACTCAAATTTAATCATAAATTATATAATATATGCACATACGCGAAAGCTTGGCAAGGTATAATAAAAAATTGTGAGAGGAAATAGAAGTAAAGAGATGAAGGGGAAGCCGAAGCCAAGAGGTGGAGGCAGGTGTCGGGACGAGAGGTGTGTGGCGCGGTAACTGTCTCTCTCTACCGTCTAGTTTACTCTTGGTTAACTACTGTATGGAGACTTAACTTGTTACACCTACACGCAAGAGTAAGTTTATGGTGTTTCTTTATACTATAAGAGCCATGTTGCTGTATATGAGGCAATGTTGTACCGTCGCCTTAACTGTTGGAGAGTTTGTTGTCATCACTTTACTTCAAATATTTCTTTCTAAACTTTTGGACTTAATACTTTATAAAGGCTGCCAGGAAAGTCAAAAGCCATATGACGAAGAAGCAGAAGCCACCTAAATTCTACATGATTGATAATGTTGGACGGTACATAATATTTGGTTTAGAACCACGAGTTTGTTAACTAAGTGATTTGTTTATTTTTTTTAGGGGTGTAATAAGTTATACAGTATATAGATTACATGTATGTATCATAAAGAATGATACATATGACGTATTCTGTTTACACCCATTATATCTTTGGCTCCTTGAAATGTGTCTCGTGTACCCCCTGAGGAGGCTTCACTTACAGTACCCTCTGGGGGGCATAGACCCCTGGTCTAGGACCCCTGACATAAATTATTAGTAATACTTATTTCAGGTTTGGGTATTATTGCATTAGTTGGCCCAACTCAATTTCTTGATTAAAAACACCGTTATTATTTGGTTCGGTTAATATATAGGACTAACCCGCCGGGCTGCATAGCGCCGATGTGGCTGTATCATCTCACGTCCAGAAATGCCTCAAATTTCACCATATTATAATAAGTTCTTTCTGTTTAATATACCGGTAAGTTTGGTAGGTTTATTTGGTTAGGTTTGTTCTTAACCACAAATGTTAAAGTAGCATTTATTTTAAAAATATCCGTTTTGTAACATATTTCCACAAACTACAACAGTGTCCACTATAATATAACAATGAAAATCCTGTGTTTTTATAATTTTTTTCAATCAATTTCTACCGCGGGTTAGTCCTATATAATTACCTTTTGTTCATACTCTACTAAGACACTTTTCTTATATGGAATTTCCATTGAAAACAAACGGTTACCAAAATATTGCACGATTTAGGTTGGAATTGGGCACACTTATGCAAATTTACCCGAGTGTGGTTCACATTACATGGTTCAAAATAACTGCTGGCAGCAAGGTGAAAAAAATTAGGGTATACACAGGACTACAAATGGTCAGTTTGTGGTTTCGTCTACCCATGGCTCTTGAGTTGAGCATATCCCAGGAAATTAAAAGTTAGTTTCAAACATATTTTGATTTTGAGCACATTACTGCATTATGAGTCTTAAGGTTTGGTTTGGGACTTAGGTTTTAGCAAGTTTTTCATTTTCGCTAAGGTTTTGTTTGGTAAAAATTCATTCCTCCATAATTTTTTGGGATGTTCTTGAGAAAAGGAAGAGGTTTACTTGTTTTGTAAAGTTTCCTGATGTTGATACAGTAGTTAACCTGCACTCCTCTACTGAAGTATTATATAATATTTTAAAGTTTTTGGTAATAGGTTAGGTTGGCTTAGCTTGGTAATTATGAAATGTGAGAATTGTAAATGGGGAAGATTTGGTAGAGGACCACCATGAAATCTTATACTGTACTGATTTGCTTGTAGGAAGATAGAGCCAAAAAAAAAAAAAAAACTTCTTTATAATATTTTTGTCAGCATTTTCAAGTTTTTTTACTTATTGATTTGCCTTAAAAAAAAATATATATATATATATATAAATAAATTTGATAATACAAAGTGGGCAGGTTTCTGAAGTAGAGGGAAATTGTGGGGTAAAATCACCAAAAATGATGAAACAACTTTACTTAATCTAACTACACTATTACAGAAAACTTTAAAAGCGTCTAATACTTAAGAACAAGTGCCAGGTTAAGGAGCTGAGTCAGGAAACTTTTCAAAATAAGAAAAGTTTTTTACCTCATCAAGAACATCACAAAAATAGTGGAATAAATAATTTTTTAACCTACAAAAAGATCATCAAGAACCTAACCTAATGACTCAAATATTACTGTACATGTCTAACCTAACCTAACCTAACCAGAAGGACCTAACCTCTTATCCACTTGGAGCCACCAGTGTGTGAACCTGCCAGTAAAAAAAAACAAAAATACTGATGAAAATGCTGCATAGAACAATAGTAATCTTAATTTATTTTATTTATTTTTTTTGGGGGGGAGGGACTTTATCTCTATATACAACTAATATTTTTTCCTAACCTCAGATGCAGCAAAACACATTAACCACCACCCTTGGGTTTGGGACTGCCGAGGGAGGTGGCGATGGTGTTATACAAGACTTGGAGGTAGCAGGACGACTCGTTGATAAACATCTAAGCTACGACTCCGGCTTCCCATCACTCTTGGATAGGCTGAGAATATCCCCTCAAGGTAAGTCACACACTCCAATGGCAACCCTTAATCCCATGTTGTTTGATTTACCATTACTGTTGTACATAATCTGTTGACCAGTTTTTGTAATGCTTCGCCACTATCGGCAATAAGAGCAGTACTGTATCATGAACAGACAGTTGTTGGAAAAGTGATAATTACATAGGTTAGGTTAAGTTAAAGCACAACCCTGCCTTTTGTAATGAGTAATGACAACATACCCACTCCATTTTTATCATAATTGTCTCCTGTCATTATCTTCACTCTCCTTGGGTTTCTACAGTACTGTATAGAAAATCTTCTTTAGTCTGTCTACATTCATTTTTAATTTCCTTGTGATGTTCATAAGTCTCACTTCCTCCTGATCGACTTCCTTCCATTTGTTTGATATGAAGTGTGATTTTTGATCAGTCAGTTTTAGTCTTTTCTTTTTCCTCTCTACATAGTCCTGTAAGTGTTCCCTTATTCTTAATTAATGTTTATGTGAATTGATTCCATTATTGTTCTCTTTCTTAGTTATCAGGTCCTCTGTCTAACAATGCTGTATGTGTGTTTGAGTTTCAATTTCATATTGTATCCCTGCCCCTGTTTTCACATTTAAATCTCTCTTTTTTATTTATCCAGCATATATTTGTTTTAATTTCAGAGTGTTAGCCTCACTAAACTCATTACTTTAACATGATCTCCCCTTGGCTTGGCCCTTTAGCACTAACCTTCACAGCAATGGTTAAAGAATTATTACAGCTGCATTAAGCAAAGTTATTTTTTAGAAGAATTTAGATATGTTTTAGTACGGCATTTACCATTTGCTAGAAAAACATGACTCATGAGCTTTATAATATTTAATCTGCCACAGGTTATGCAACAGTGAGTGGTTTAAGTGAGAGTGACTACCCCAACAGTGGTGATGCTCGCTCGGTCCGTCACCTCCACACCACTCGCAAGGTGCCGCTTCCCTCCGAACTCATTCACCACTTTCAGCGTATCCTTTGTTTACCATCTTTGATATTCCGATGTTTCTTATCAAGAGTTTATATGTTAGGCGGCTGAAACATGTTCGGCTAGATAGGTATTAATTAAGTCACTACAAATTGTGTATAAAATAAACTCTTAGCATGTCTGGCACATTAGGGATCAGGGTGGTGCTGGTTAAAAAAAGAATCTGGTTTAAGAGAGAGGCAAAATGAGTCAGTCAATTTATAACACTGAATAATATAAGAATTTGGACAAGAGAATTAAGCGTCCTAGCCAGTCCTCTACCTATCTGAGGATTATGGAACCTTACTCTCACCTGGCTTTGTTAACCTCAACTCCCCTGTCTTGCCTGGTTTTATATATACCCTGTACAGTACATCATAGTGTGATGATTCAACACCAAAGTGCTTTAAGCAATTATTTTGATTTCACATTTTCTCAGTATTATAGTTTTATTTATATATTTTTTTTATTTAATTAAGAGACAGTACAGCAATTATACAGTATTGTACATAAAAGAATTTTGGAGTTAATGCAATTATCTTAAACATTATGAGAAATACTTGTAATGTCTGAAGTGTGCTTATCCTTCGCTGCCTTGCTTGTGGACAGTAAAGTATTAAAAATGATGGCAGGCATATTACACTGATTTGTTTTATCTTAATTAGGAGATACTCTTTGCCTTCTGTATTCAATGATTCTCCTTAACAGTGAGCTAGATATGCAATGTAACTGCATGATGGGACTGTTTCCCGAGATCAACAGGGCCTGGCTCACAATTGACAGTGATATCTATGTGTGGATATATGAAGATGGGTGAGTCACTTATTATAAATATACTTACAGTACTTTTATAATTTGAATCTTACAGTTTGGTTAAGTTATTATATTATATATCGTGAGATGGTTGTCATTCATTTATGATATATAGACACTAGTAGGAGGTACTGTATTGCGTGGTGGGTAAGTATAGTTGGCCCTCGAAGTTTGCGGTTTCTGGTTTCACATATTTTGTAAATTCGCATGTTATTAAATGTATGCCGCTCTCCCATTCACAATCCCCAACCATGAGTATTGGCAAACTTTTAAGTGGTTGTAATCCATGCATTTTGAGGGTGAACATGAAAGTTTTAACTGCTGAGCCTACAAATTTTTTTCAGTGATAATAGTATTTTGTATGCTGATGCCTGATGCTATTGGCTTATAATCATTGTGTAGACCAAGAACTTTCAATAAAAACATATTTTCTGGCATTTTGTAGCATTTTAAGATGTGTTGGGGTTTTTTATCTTGTAGGAATGCATCTCCGCTTTTGTAATGGTAGTCTGTGGAGAATTTGTTTCTGCTTTACTCTAAGGTTTTTCAGTAGCAGAAGCTTTTTGTAAATGAGGGAATGCTTGTGTTCTTTCCTCTGATTCATGATGTAAAAATCAACATTGAGTAAGTTAAACATACTGGTGGTAGAAACAACTGCATTATTTTAGCATATTTTTATTATTACAGTAAACCCAATAATTGAGGTAAGTTTGGATCTCTATTATCATGTATCGTACAATATTTTAACCTATGAGATGTGTTTTGGTGGTCGTTAATAATGTGTGAAATTTAATACTGTAATGCTGTACAGTACTGTATATATGAGGGACAGAAACCCCCCCATTAAGGGATTCCTCCAAATAAGGGACAGGACTTGCACAGATCAATCTGGTATTGGGAGGGTTTACTGTACAGGTACTTGAGAACAAATTATTATTTTTTAACTTCACATTGTTTGTTTGTAAATCAATGTGTGGGATTTATTTATAATTATTTATAACCTCAAATTTTCATAAGTAAATGCTTTAGAAATTGGGTTTACTACAAAATATTAATTGATTATTATAACCCGTAAACATTATGAAAATTTCCTATAAATCTTTAAGAAGAAGTTTTTAATTTATTTTTTCAGAAGTGACTTGGCTTATTTTGATGGACTTCATGAGACTATTATAAGTGTGGGATTAGTAAGACCAAAGGCTGGGGTGTTTAAGCCCTACATAGAACACCTCCTCTGCCTAACAACAACCTCTGAAATTGTCCTATTGGGAGTTTCTTTCTCACAGTCCATAGATGGTAGGTAAACTTCATGAAACAAAGGCAGTGTGAATTCATTTTGGATTTTTGTGATATACATTGAGACTTTGAATCTACTTCAGGCTCATACTAGACTTACGAGAGCTTGTGGTTATTCTTGGCACTTTGTTTGCTTGCAGTCGAAGGAAATTGCGGTATGCATCTGTTACCCGAGCCACTGTTTTCCGTACCGACTGATGGGTCCTACATCCTCACCATCCGCGGTACCAATGACGGTCGAATCTTCATGGGGGCCAAAGATGGATGCTTACATGAATTAGTTTACCAGGTACAGTATTGTGATAACACCAAGGGTACAGTAGTTTTTACGGTGTTTAGTAACCAGGAAACTTTTAAATAATTCATAATATAAAACGTATTTGTGTCTGGGTGTAAGAGAGACCAGAGGAGTATAGTTAAAGAATTACCATAGGATTAGGTATTTAATGTTGAAGAGGACATATTGTATTGTCAAGGTAATTATATGTTTGTTTATTCTTATGTTTGCTGTCTATTACTGTGTGTAGTAATAAATTTGTGAAAGGTTTAACTTTTATAATATAAGTGATAATTAAATTTTAAGTGTCAATAAATAGTGGAGGACTTAACATGTGTGAGGTTTACTAATGTCTGGATGTGACCCACTTTGTTTATTTTATGTTTTTGTTTTTTCCTAGGCTGAGGATGGGTGGTTTAGTCGAAAATGTCGGAAAGTGAACCATTCAAGATCGGTAATCTCGAACCTGTTTCCCTTCCTGGCTTTCTCTGAGGATGACCCGATTAATCAGGTCAGTGGGTATGGTTCATCTCGTGAGTGCCGGGATTTGGAAGAAACTCGAGCATTAGCTGTAATCAACATGTGCATTTTACTTTGGTAATGAATATTAAGACACTGTATCATCTAGTCATCTTCTGGGCATTTCTTGGACTGAGAAAGGTTAGAAACTCTACAGTATATTGTTTATATTTCAGGTGGAAGTGGATGACAGTCGGCATATCCTCTATACCCTCAGTGATAAAGGCACTATCACAGTGTATGATTTAGATTCAGATGGCAAGAGCATATCTCGGGTAACATCAGTCCCTCATAACAACATCATGAATGCTGCACTCCAGGTTGCTAAGTAAGAGTCAAGAATTATTACTTTACACTGCTGAAACATAACATAGGAATGCATTATTCTTCTCTTCCTATTTAATTTATTATTATTTTTCACATTTCATTACTGTACAGTGGGAATTTTTTCTTACATTTGGCTCCTTTATCATAAGTGTTTGGCATTCAGACACAGATTCTAAAAATCATAGATAAAAAAGCTCCTCTTTGTAGAATTTTAAGGCAAAGTGTGCTTGAATTTATTTATTTTCCTTCCACAGCTGATATTGGTACACTGTATACTGTACTTTTAGATTAATAAATGGTTCACCAGGTCTTGGGGAAGGATTTTTATACACAACACTACTTCATCATCATTAAACTTAACTCTCGGGGTTTTCATGAGCAAACTTTTATTTTTCATTTGCTTATGGTTGAGTAAGAATTAGGTTAATACACATCGTACTCCAGGCAGTGTGGGTGTGTTAGGCAGTTTGGTAGACTAGGCAGTGGGGTTATCTTGTTGAGTGACATCAATAAGGACCACTATAAACAAACAAAACTGATCTCATAAATCATTCCTCGGTAACAAAAGAAGTATGCCTTGTATTTGTGCATACCTTCACACAACAAGTGGTTTCCTTTCTTTAATGTAACACAGCTAAAACATCATGGTTTTTGGAATAAGCTTTTCTAAACATTTACAGTAGATTATTGTATGTAACACATTTTTGGTGAAAACTTTATGATGAAATTTTTGTCCTAATTTCTTTTTTCCACGTTGCTCTTTTGTTTATTGCATTCCACTTCCCAGATAGTCCTCTCTTTATAACAAATTCTCCTGTAAGGTTGGCCAGGATGTATCCAAGTTAGTCACAATATTAATCTCAAGTTTACTATGTACTTTGCAGAACAGTTGACAAAGCTAATTTTAAAGGTGTGGTGAGCCTGTGTCCAATAAGCACCAGTGAGTCAACGCACATACACCTGGTGGTAGTGACAGGTAATCTAATAATTTTTTGTCTTTAACTTCATGAAAAAACCTAAAGATTTATTATAAAGTAATGATTACTCCTGTACTGAGTGTATGGTCATTAAAAGGATCAAATTTGGTGAAGTAATCAATCATATCTTATTGTTATTGATACAGACTGTGTTACATCAGCTATAGTTATGAAGAAATCCCAGTCCAGATTATTGTTCTTATTTCATCATTTATTTTCTATTCCTCTTTATGACCAGGTACTGGGGTCCGACTGTATTACACAACAATACCACTTAATGGTGGAGCAAACCAGCGACCCTCCCAGTTGACATTACTTCACGTGCGTCTCCCTCCTGGCTATGCTGCTAATGCCACCGTTTATAGACCAACAAAGGTTCATAAAGCTTTATATTCACATGGTATGTATATGTTGTTCAGCCAGTCATGCTGTATAGTCTTGACATGTATAGGAAATTAATGTGAAAATATTGTCTTAAGAATATTATGGGACATGAATAAAAGATATATACAGTGTATTTGTAGACTTAAAGAAGGCATTTAACAGGGTGCCACTTTAGGTAGTGCAGTGGGCAATGAGAGAGTTAGATGTCGAGGAGTGTCTTGTACAGTCAACCAAAGATGCATCGACCCTCACCCTGGCTCTCGTTTACATAATTTTACTTGGTGAAGTAAGGGTGTATGTAATGGGGAATGTGATTGGTGGATCTATTTTTGGCTGTATCACTGTCTGGATAAATATTAAACAATCCAAAGGTAGCATTTTTATAATAAACTATTCATTGTTATTTAAGATTGTGAGAAGTCTTTAGATGATAAATATCACTTATACTTATAGAAAAGCAAATGAAGTATGGTGAGGGCAATGTGAAAAACATGGGTAATTTCTTGATTAAGAAGAATTAGATAGTTTGTCTATGTAATTTGTCATTAAGGGATAATGGTAGAGCTATTACTAAGTATAATTGATGGTAGGAACACTAAGAGAAGGCAGGAACGAGGATGGATAAATGAAATTCAAAGCTGGGTCCCCAGAGAGATCCTGAATTTGTGATGATTGGTATAGACAGACCCAAAAACATTTAGAGTGGAGCCAGAATCAGTCAGGTTTTATTTCCCCGAGTAAAGATATTAATTCTTTTTAGTTACATAAAGAGTTTCACTAAGCTCCCTTTTCCCGCAGGGACTGGTGTTCTGTGTTCCAATGAAAGCATCGAGGCAAATACAGTTTGGACAATGAGTAGTGACCAGTATCCATATCACCCTACATTAGCAGAGTCTCAGAGCACACACACAGTTGATGGATATGTATGGGCCCTGGCAGATGTCACCCCAGAGCTCTGGTGTTCTGCTTTCAGTCCTCCAACAACTCAGGTTTGTGTCCATACAATGGTTCAGAGTATTTTTAACCTTTATTTTACTATGGTGCAAGTTAACTAGAATCATGGGTAAACATACACCTGTCATTGTTTATTATTCTTTTACTCTTTATACTGTACTGTTAAATCTCTATTCACCCCTCAACACTGTGCTCTCCTTTCACTTGGGTCATGGATGTCTGTTCCCATCCCGTGTAGTGCATTCTTGATCCCAGCCATCCATCTTCTTGGTCTTCTCCTAATTTTAGCCATCTGTTGTTTACCATTCTCAGTCATTCCGTGGCACCTTTCCAATCTCAGGTTTGCTCTCTATTTAACACGTTATATCTTTGGTGGTCCTTATTCTCTGCACCCAATTCACCCCATTCTTTTTTGTCATAAATGTAATTTTCAATATCAGTCAATCATTATTTTGGCCATTCTTATCATGAGTTGGTGCCTACAGGTTTTGTCAGCTCATGTATTCTTATATGATGTGAAAAGTGAAAGTGGATCCCATAGATATGACTGCCCATTAGGGACAGTGAGGATACAGTACACATTAAACTAAGCCTTAGGTACACAAGGAGGCAGCATGGCCGGTATGGTACTGAACTTGACTTCATTCAACTTCCCCGAGATGTAAACGTAGTTAACCATTTACAGCTGGATGAACTTGAAGTGCTCAGGGATCAAACTGCCGATTCTTGGAACAGGAGGCAAGTGCTGTATCCACTTGACTGCCACACTCCACTTGTATGATGTGATCAATTCTTCTTCAGTTCTTTAAATTGTGTTTTGTCTACAGGGCACGAGACCACCACTTCTTGTCACCCAGCATCAGCATGCACCTAGACAATTGGTATTGCTGTCAGCCAATGGGGCACACATTCTTACTTTCCAACGGCCGGTTGATCAGCTTCGACAGCTTCTAGAAGAATTCAGTGGGGCCGAGGCAGCAGTAGTTAAAGATTTCTTTACTGCCATGACACCAGCTCAAGCTTGTGCCACTGCCTTAATTATAGCGACTGATCCTAACAGACAAAACATTCAGGTAATGTGAGGTATACTCTTTTTTCCTCTAATTGTAAAAGAATGTTGATGTTTATTTTAACTTGTAGTAATGATCAATTAAGTAGTTTTGCTTATAACATGTAATCTTCTGTTCTCAAGACCTTTGGCAATTGCTGGTCATTAAATATTATTTGTGGTGTTTCATTATTAATCAGTCTATGTAAATGAATTTGTTTATTTTCTTGAACAACTATTAAGAAAAGTTTTGGTGAGAATGAGTTATGTTAACCCAGCCTGAGATGGTCATTCATATTACTGTATTGTACTCCAAACCTTATGATTTGCTGTCTGAGCTTTTGTTACATTCCAAATATATATGTGGTCCTCAGTTAAGATATTTAATATTAAGGATAGTTATTTATTGCAAACAGTCATTGCTGTGATATGTAGTTAGGCATATTGGTATGTTCTTTGAACCTTAAGGCTCTCATTAGGACCAAAAAAATATACAGAAATTAAGCATTATGATGTAACTTGTGATCACCAGATTTTATATTTGTGTTGATGTGATAATACAGAAGTTGCTCATGTTCATATAACTAACATGGTTTAATAGCTGTGCTCATCATGCTGGGCTACAGGGGGAGTGTAAGGGTCTAGGCTTCAGCATTCCGTAGGAGGTAGAAACTCGGTGAAGATTTCTTACTGCAATTTTGTCTCTTTACATAAATGGTGCATGTGCATTGATTCCACTGTAGCTGCAGGCGTCCTAACTGAGCCAGGGATTTTTTTTTTCATCTTTTAGGGTATGATATATCCTACAAGGCTCCATTTATTTTTATTTATTTTTAGCACGATACTCGTTTCTGCTAACAGTTGTCTTATTGAATATTAACACCATTCTGGCAATTTTTGTTGACAGGTAGCTGAGAGGGCCACCCGTGCTTTGTTCTTGTATGGTGCTAATATACCCCAAGCACCATCCACTCCCATACCTCCCCAGATGCCATCCTACTATAGTGAGTAAACAAGTTTCATGGTATTTAAAGATCACTATTTAGTTGGTCCAGGGATCATTATTATAGACTGGTATGGTTCAAATTTACTTCACACTCTACATTGCATCATTTACTATATTGTGCCACTTGGGGTTGTATCTCAGAAAGAGGTCCCAGTCTCAGCCAGGATAAATGTCATTCCCTGTAAATAGACTGACCATCTCTCACTTGCCTCTGTGTTGTCTGTCTCTCATGAAGGGAACATCTCCTCCTCCTCCAAGCTATGTCTCATCACCTCAGGACATGTTGGGAACCTGTCAGCCAGGTTTTGCTCTCCCATAACTATTTGTTTAGAGTTGTTTACATTTGATGCCATGACTGAAAAAAAAAATCTTATTGTTTCTCTTTTTTCTATAGATTTTGCTCCGACCCAAATGTCAACGCCCCTGCCTGGCCCAAGTGTACATACAGCTGTTGGCCAAGACACACAGTTTTCACCGTTTCACAATGCACTGTATCTTTATTTAGCGCGAATCTTAAGACCTGCTTGGTCTACCCCATTAGCCAAGGAAATGGTAGTTGAAGGGAATACTGTGGTAAGTCTCTTATATAATTAGATATATTTGAATGAGTGAGTACATCGATGTGCTAGTTGCTGCTTTTAATGCAATAAATATTTTTCTTCACTTGATATTAAGTAGATTATAAAGTATTATTAATGTTAAATTTTATAGGAACTTTTCATTTCAATTTGTTGTGTGGCATAATTGAAATATACTGTCATCAGTTGGTGAGCACCATGACTACTGAGGAGATTGGTTTTCTGGCCAGTCAAGTGGAGTTGTTGGCCAAGTTCCTCGTCACAAACCAAGGTGGAGCTGCCCGATTCCAGCCATTAAACACGTGAGTTCGTGTATATCTTTTAACATCTGTGGAATCTTGTTGTCTCGTATCTCCAGGTTATAATGCATTTATTTTGAGAAAAGTTTATAGGATATAATTAAGTCGAAACTTTTACCTGTCTCTCCAGGTTAATGAGAAATAGGCTTCATCAGTTTTCCACTTCCTCTACAGATCGAGCACAAATGTAACTATGACGAGGTACATTGGAGATAGGTCAGAGCGTGCCTCACTATTGGCTCTGAGATCTCTCTTGGATCAAGCACTGGAGGTTCTTCGTCTACTGGCAATCCTTACCACTCACAACTTGACCACCATCACCTCAACCATGCAGAAAGTAAGTTTGTGCAAATTGTGATTGGTTGGTAAAGAAGAACATTAATGCAGTCAGTCAGAAGTAGAAGATATAAACTACTAAGAAGATTAAAGCAATAATTTAGTTGTTGAGATGTAGGAGTAAGTTAGTATATTATACCAAAGGAATAAAAAGAAACCACACACAAGGGGGAAAATATACAGGTGGTTCTTGCTTAACGTCGCCCTGATCAGTGTCGTTTTGTTTTAACGTCATAAGTTGAGTCAATGGAAGAGGTTTTGTTCATGCACCCCTATAGACCCAGCTAAGACACTGGTGTATGTTTCTTCACACACTTAGTATACAGTGACAGTTTTCCCATTAAAGGCTGGTTGTAATTTTTGTCTAGAATTCGCCTTTTGTCATTATTCTCGTACAGTTACCATATACTATAACTTACTCCTTACATGGAGACAAGTAGACTTATCATTCACACACACACACACACACAGTCAATGAGTCAGTTGCGTGATTGCCCAATTGCTTCTTATTTACTCCCAAGTAATATGTAGAAAATTAGATCATAAGAATTTTTTTCTTTCTTGGATTTCATATACAGTACAGTATATAATGCTCAGATCTTTTATAAAATATATTATTTTGTAAAGTAGATTTTCAATAGATAGATACTTTGCATCATCATTAATATCATTTTATGGCCAATTGAATCGGATTTTCCTAAACCTAACTTTGTTGTACAGTAAGAAATAATTTCTGCATTATGCTTTAATATTTAGATACCGTAAGTTAAATGCTTTCATTGATGCCAGGTGCTTTATTCCAGGAAGTGAAGGAACAGCTACGAGCCATGACCTTACGCGACTTGGTGCTGACTGGTCGTGAGGTTTGTCGCAGCCTTATCATGGCTTTGTTAGACAGGTAATAAAGTCTGTTATATTTTGATTGCTTTCAACATTACTATTGATACACTTATTACTTAACCAGCCTAAGCATTAGGACCAAATTGAACATATTTTTAGGTAGATTTGACAGAGAGACCAGGAGCTTTACATAGAGTTTGAGTAAGGCCTTCACGTGTTAATTGTGTTTTACTTTATTACTTAATAAATCCATGACCAAAATGGATAAAAACATCCCGTGGTCGTGTGGCATAAGAACGGTGGATGGACAAAAACACTTCTGAGGCACGTGGGTACTGGCTCAAGGAGAAAGATTTAGACAGAGGCACATGGGTAGTCCTTCCCTGCACTGAAGACAATGAATGAGTGTCTGTGCACAGTGGCCATTTTGGGAGGACAAATGAAGATGTACACGTAGCTAGTAGGGGGTGTGGCTTCTTTTGATTTCCTGACACATCGATAATTAAACTGAAGGCTCAAGTGTATAGCAAGAAAAGTGTTAAAAAGTTAAAATCATTACACTGAAGAATTGTAAGTCGAGGTGTCCCTGTATATGAAGACATTTTTTTATCATGCCATCACTCCTCTTAAGATTTTGCCACTAGTCAAGTACAGGGTGAGGCTAAATCGTGACAGCATAGAAAAGCAAACCCCTGCCACTATTGATCACAGCAGTAAGTAGGGTAAACACTATAATGACTCTTACATTATCTCCACCAGGTTCTTAATAATAAACCTCAGATTAACTCAAAATATTGAGGAGGCATCATACTCTGCATATTTTTTTAATATACAGTAATACAATTAAAGAACATATATTTTAAAGACAATTAAAGGAACAAATGAAATACATGAAACCACAGCCTAAGTTAACCTAAACCTTAACCTCAGCCTCACCATACACTTGAACAGTACAAAAGTATACACCACTTATATCCATAATATATCCAGAGTCCAGACTAACTGTACCACACTTGGGACCATTTATCCGACATGTTTGGGACTTGCCAGATAGGATTTTTTCTGGATTTTGGAGCACCGGGCCTAAAATGTACAGTAAGCCCTCGGTAATGGCTTGTGAAGATTGTTCAGATCACTAGATTCACCCCTAAATGTAGCTTTAACTTTAAAACTTAAAGTTGTAGACATAATATTATAAACATCAATAACAAAAGCATATACTGTAAATAATATTAATGAGAGCAAAATGATACAAGTTAGTGTTCAAACTGTGTCTCGGCCGCCCCTGGTGCTCGCCTTAGTAACGTAGCGTCTCTAGTAACGGTGGTCCACACGGACCCTCTGACCGCTGCACACTCGCCACACAGTTCATGGTGGAAGCCCATTGATACATAAAACTTTATACCTTATGATAATTATTTCTTTTTGCACTTTTTGTGTGTAGGATTGAGTGTGTATAAGAGTGAGATAAAAATGTGAAGAAAATTATGTATATCTTCCCGAAGTTGAGTTAAAAATACTTTATACGTTACGATAATTACTGGTACAGTATACTGTATTTCTTCTTTTATTATTATTATTATTATTATTGTTATATTTTTTGCACTTTCTGTATGTAAGATTGAGTGTGTATGTAACTAAATAAAAAAAATGAAGACAATTATATTTACAGTACTGTACTGCACTGCACTGTACAGTACTATACCTACCCAAAATTGTGGATTAAAAATAACCATAACTATACAGCTCACAGGTGGGGATTGGTTGGGAATACAATCTCCCCCACTCAGCCCAGGAATTACTTGCTGCTGTACAGTAATGTACTATGCCACGAATATAGGGTATTTGTAAATATGGTTAATTGTGACAACTTAAAGTAATAAATGAAAGCAGTTTGTGGTATTCTGGTCCTTGATTACTGTTAATCCCAACAGGTACCATGGAGACAATGCATCAGCTGATGCCATATCTGAGCGACTGCGGGAAATTTGTCCTGGGCTGTACCGCATAGAAGATGCTAAAATAGCCAAGGTCAATGAGATCATCCTGGCTGCTAAAGCCACTAGCAACAAGGCAGAGAAGGACCAGGGTTTCAAGGAAGCTGTGGCGGTAAGCATTTGAAGATAATAAAACCCTTATTTAAGTTAGTGAATAGTATACCCATAGTCTTACACTGCACTGTACTTCTTAACCATGGAGGGACTTCTGTTGGATGAATCATCTTTACTACAGTGTTATAACTTATAGTATTGCTTACCTTATCAGTGTGGAAGGTTGATGGTCCACACCACACCTCTCCACAACAATAACAAATGACCCTCATGATTGGAAAGAATTTTTTTGAATTTTGAAATTATTTTTTCAAGACTTTTGTCGGATGACAGTAGAAACCAATTGTAGCCCATGAGCACCCCTGAGTCTACCCACCCACATGCTTGGCACAGGATGCAATCACTTGGAAATTCATTTGAATGCTCAGAACAGAGATTTTTCGGAATGCTAAAATTTTATTTTCCGGTTAATGGTTTCTTAGGTTTTTGTGGTTCAATCCCGTACCCTACAGGGTGTATATTTCCTATTGACGTCTATGTACAGTCACTCAAAAGACTTTCTATACTTGGAGGGTCGATGAATTTCAGAATGAACACTGCGATTCATGTTGTCTCGGTTGGATTCTCAAAATATTTCATCTGTTGTCATATTTTCTCGACAATTTTGTAAATATAATTTTTTGAGTGACTGTACATAGAACAATAAATCACAGTTCACTATTTCATAGTTATTCTCAGTTCCATTCTTGTAATATATTGAAGGTCTTATGTATGACAACCCTTAACCTTCATCAAGCCTTTTGGTCTTTTCATAATTTAACAGAAAAAATAAAATTGCCTGTGTTAAAATAAAATTTTATGTCTAAGAGATAAATGTATTGACTTAATTTTGTGGAGTACAGTATATTTTGCTTTGGTTGTTTGTGTTAAATATATGTACTTCATCCACAGCTGTGTAAGCAAATTGGTCATCATGTGAATGTTAATGGCATCGGTAGCCAACTGGCCAGTGGAGGAGCGTATGAAGGTGTGGTCGACCTGTGTCTTAGTGTGGCTGCCCAGAGAGATCCAACTGGCTTAGCTCTCCACTACTATAAGAATAATGAACCTACTGATGACCATCAGGGTTATATGGCCTTTACTACAAGGTTAGGAATTTGATATGAATCTTTTGTAGTCGATATTTTTTTTTTTTCGTATTTGCTAACACCATAACTAAATTTTTGGTTAAAAGCTGTTAAGCAGTCGTTTATTCTTGTCTTCCATGACTCTTGTCTCACCATCTCTATTTATTATCAGTTTTCACAAATGATGTGTTCTAATACTGTAGAGTCTTGATAAGTCACACTTTTGGTACCAGAAGAAATCATGAATTATAGTTTAATTGGTTTGAATGGAAATAATTAGTTTGCTTCCAGAGGCCAAAAAATACCATAAAACTGTTCCAGCACTGCTTTGATAATGACTAAACATCATTCATAATGCATCAAAAAATACTGTAACACTTATTGTATAAAAAGTACTTCTACATTACATAAACAGCTCCTTCCCTTGTCATATTCATCATGTGGGTTACACCATAAACAACATCCAGACAGACAGGTGCCAGGCTGACTGTGCTATGTAAGCAAAACACCGGGAATTTAATGCTGTACCACACAATAACTCATCAGGGTTTGAGTGTGTACTTTTTTTTCAGGAAAATTAACAACTTGACAATAATGTTTTATTAACCCAGTACCAATTGAACTTAAATGATGTGGGAGTTGTGGTGAAATTGCTTGAAGTTGTATTGAGGAGATCGCCCGAGAACGGTGAGGGGTGGGAGAAGTTCACTCCACCAGCCAATCACTTTACTTCCCACTTTTCATTTTTCTTATTTTATAATCTTATATTATACTTTCTGTATTTCTAAGTCACGTTAGAGCATCAAAGTGATATTTGTGTAAGACTTTCTTTATTTCTAAGTGAAATTAGATGATTGGAATGATATTTCCACAGCTTTTATGGTTTCTTGTGTATATAAACACTGCAGCAAGCAACTTCTGGCTACAAATTATGAATATTTGACTAAATTTTTTTTTAAAGATGTAATAGAAGACACCTGTGAATTATCACTACTCCGCTGTATAAAACATCATGGTTGTTCAACAGTTATAAAAACATATACCTGTAGTACTATAGTACAGTATATACCCATACTGTATTGCATGTGGTGTTACTTTATTCCTCAACTTTCTCAGGGCTCCCAAATATCCGGAAAGAGAGTCGTCAGTTATTAGAAATGTGTGTTATTGAGGGGATTTACGTTCTGTCCGGTACAGTACTTGTATATGATAATAATATTATGCTCCTCGTCATTCTCTTCCTCCACCTCCAAGATTATGACTCATTTTGAGAAAACAACCTTTTGTCCTAAAAACAACAAATTTGTTTTATCAGTTACTTAGTATTTTATCTTAACTTTAAAATTTGTTCACTTTTGATAGGATGGAATGCTACAGTGTGTTAATTGACCAATTGAACCAGTTAGTAGGATCTGTAATCCCTACACCAGCGTCCCCAAGTGTACCCTCACGGCCCGGACCTCCCACACCGCCACCCTCCACACTACCCTCCACAGATGCTACTCACTATGCTAACCAGGTGAGTACACAGGCCACATGAAAGTCCTTGTACAGGTATTCTTACAGGGTATAATTTTATGTATTATTACAGTACATTCAGATTCACTTGTATTCAGTTCAAGTAAATACAGTACAGTATATCTGGCTGCTAGCTTATACCCCCAACAATGAGGAGTTTAAGAAAATATTGTTGTTGCTATTATATATCTGCCAATCCAGCTAATGATTTTTTATTCCGTCCATTAATTTTCTTAGACCTCTTATTTAAGGTTGTTTGCTGTCAAAGAAACTAACAAGCCATCGTCACCACTGAGTGTGTGTTGTTATTGGTTCATTTTTTATGTTCAGCTCCGTTACCTTAAACAGAAAAGCCTTTGCCTTATTTCATAGGGATTTTTAATTAGTCTTTTAATGATGGAAATTTGTAGATGTCACCATCAGAAAATATGAAAGATTCATACAATCATAAAACTAATAGTTACTTATGTTCAATGGCAATACATAGCATTCTATCATATCATACCTTTATTTTATAACAGTACTGTTCAGACTTCAGGTCCACTGTCCTTATTTTACTCAAAATTGTTACAGATGATGAATTTAATTGTAGCCAGCAGGGATGAATTGGCCCATGTAACATTATACCAGTGGCTAGTGAACACAAATCGCACAGATCGCCTGCTAGCTCTCACCTCACCATATTTGGAGACTTTCCTCACACGCACCAATGGCCAGGCACCCCTCAATCACTTGCTTTGGCGACACTATGAGAGGAATAGAGAGTACTTTAAAGCTGCCAAGACTCTTCTCGTGCTTGCTGAACAAATTGGGTAAGATAAATTGTTAGCCTCAGTCACCTATGGAAATGCTGTTATTTGAAAGAAATTATTCTACTATATTTCTATAATATTGTGTTTTTTTCTTTGACTATATTCATGCTTAAAGTTTACTGTTTGGTCTACCACACACTTTTATGTTCTCATACTTTATTAATGTTTATTCATCATCAATACTGTACTTTTTTGTGTGTATTAGGTAAACTCCAGGTGCAGTACAGTATCTGTCTTATTACACTTTAAAGTCTTGTGTTCACTCAGGTATTGCCAAAGCTGCTCAAACTTGCTTAGAAAAGCAGTTTTCAGTATTTGTGTATCAGATGTTAAAGCTTAAAAGATCCAGGATAGCCAAAACATTGTTTAGTACTTTAGAATAGTCCTTCCAATCATTAATTCACTCAAAAGCATTGTTCATGATATAATTTGCTTGATTTATTGGTAAAAGCATAAAGGGCTTTCTTCTCTGTTTATGTATACCGTATTTTTAAATTGGGCAGATTTCAAGGACAATATCTGTTAATTTTATTTATTTATTTTTTTTTTTTTAAGACTAGACACATGCACCACCACAGATACAAATAGATAATTGCAATTGGTGGAAATCACAGTACTATACTAACTGAAGTATAGATAGATATTTAAATGTCCTAGTATCTAGTGGGTTTGTCTACTAAATATTGGTAAGTTTTGCATTACTGGTTATCCTTTTTTTTTTCTGTGTAGAGATTTCTTAAGCTGTAAGTGTCTGGAAGATGTACTGTACAGTCAAGGAAAAAGGTCCTGTCAGTCCTGAAACTCTTGAAACTGTGAATCCAAGACATCATGCATTGTTGGGCCCATAGATGGCGCAGGTGATGTCTCACATTCACAGGTTCGTGCGTCTTAGCGTTCATGGATGGGACAGAGGACCGATAGGATTTTTTTCCTTGACTGTACATGAACTATGCTGTTAGACATGAGCCAAATAGTTTATTGGGTATACTGTATAATTCTACTTTATATGATGATGAAGTCCTTATATTAGTGTTTCTCAAGGTTTTATGTGATTTATTGTCTGAATCTGAACCATAAGCCTTTCTTCATTTTTATAGAGTATCTTGTTTTGTCTCTTGCCATATAACCTGGATTTTTGTTCCCTCAGAGACACATCATTCAGTGTGCGTGTAGAGTACCTCTCTCGAGCCCTTATGTGTCTCAGCTCCTGTGAGATGAATACAGCCCCAAACTACTCTGACTTTATGCTACACTTAGAAGAGAAGAAGGGGGTGGCAAGAGTACAGCTTATGGTAAGTCAGTACCTGTTGTTCCTTTATCAGTTCACACTTCCCAGCCTCACATCACTCTCACTGTTAAGTGGATGTGAGATGGTCTAAGTTGATTTGTAAATTTTATGTGATTAAAGATGCAAACCCTTCTCACTCACTTCTACACAGTTTTTAAGAATTGGAGCAAACTTCTTCCGAGGTGTCTTGTAGTAGGCACAGGGGTCCTCATTATGTGTTGGGGATGTATTCCAGAGAAAAGCGACTGATGTATTATGAAACTTTTTGTAATAAGGAATTTTTCCCCATAATTGGGGTTATTATATACATCTGCAGGCAAACTTGTTCAAATGATTCTTGTTAATGCCAGTACAGAACTGTATACAGTATCTGTGATGATTAATTGATGTGTTATTATGTGAGCAAAATAAACGTTTAACATTGTTATTCTATACTCCCACAGGTACTGCACGCACTAAAGTCCGAGGGAGCGGGTGAAGATATTATTGCCCAGCTAAATTCTTCCTTCCTCACCTTGACTGATTTGTATGAGAAATTTGCTGAGCCTTGGTCACTGTGGGAGAGCAAGTTGGCTATTGTTCATTGTGCAGGACATTCGGAGCCTCAACTAGTCCAGGTAGATGGAAATTGATCGGTTTTCTCTCTCTCTTTTTCCAGAAAGTATTATTACCATTCAGAAAACACGTTGTCATTGTATGTCTTCAGAATTGACTGGACTAGAACCAAGACCCCCCATATGACACACTGGTTCCTATATGACCCCAGAATAAAACCGTACAAAATCCAGAATCCAACAACCATGGGACTGTGGTGTCGCTTTTACTTTAATTACAATTTTCAAGCCATATCTACAAGGTTACTCTGGCAAAAATCTTTTGAGTAATTTTCTCTCAAAATTCTATTCTAACTATGGAAGACAGAAAACAATGCATAATAAATGGTTTTATTTTTATTTCGCATATTCCAGTCTATTTGGAGCAAACTCATAGAAAGTGAGTTAGAGAAGTCACGAGGGGTAGAGGTGGACACGAGGGTGGACTGTTTGGCCAGTAAGATCAAGACTCTAGCCTGCCTCTATTCAGCAAACCCAAGTTACTTCCCACTAGGTCAGTCACGTGTTACATTATATACATCCTGAAACATATAACAGGATTTCTAATTAATATTTGTGGTGTAATATAACTTAATTTCTTTTTCAACTGAGGTATGTGAGTACAAAAGAATAGGAGGACAAAATAACAAGTGAAGAGAAAGGCACCTAAGCTCTTCAAGTACCAATAGCAAATTAGGAGTTGAGGAGCGGTGAAAGAGAGAACATTACAGAAAGTGAATCAGGATCTGCTCAAGTGGTACATACAGAAGAAGAAAATGAGAGATTGGTATAAAGATTGTATAATTCTGCATTGTATGTTATGTGAGGAAGGGAAAGAATGGCAAGATTAAAGGCTGGGGTGAAGGAGCACTAGTAAGGATGGAGTGGGACAGACATCCAGGAAATAACCGGGTGTGTGGGTGGATGGGTGGATGTAGAGCAAGATATCCAGTTAAGTTTGGGTAAGAACTTGCTCTTGATAGGTTATGAGATAAAAGGGATGAACCAGATATGTGGACTTGTTGCAAAAGGGAAGTACCAAAGTATGACACGTTTTACAGCTGGAAGAATAATTTAGTACCAATAAGTAAAGGAAGAATGTGTGTTTGTGTATTATGGATTGTGGTTGTCCAACATCTAGCATGAAAAGACTTGGAAAGGTTATAAAGAATCTGGACAGTTATTTTAATGATGTACTTCTTTCTTTACAGAGCACATAATAAAGGAGTGTGAAATTCGATCGGTTCAACTAAAAGCAGACACGTCCTGGGTTGTCATTGCTCTCAAGGGCTGTGGAATTCCTATTAGCAAACTCATCAGTATTTACCATAAGTAAGTAATAAAATGTTTTCTTTGGGGTATTTTACAGAAACTTGTCTTATTGAAAGTACACCAGGAAGATGGAGGAAATTTTACTTAAGATATAAATGAATGGACTTTTAACCACACCCTATTGATCATTTCTCTTCAGATTGTACCATAGTGGAGACAGCGTGTGGGAGGTAGAGCGTTCACCTTACCATCTACTGGGTGTCCTGGCTCACCTCATAACCATGCTCATAGACAACAGTTATTCTGTGCCACCTCAACAAAAGTAAGAAGTTGTGTAATTCTTGTATAATTCACATTGGTATGCAAGTTGAGTATGTAAGGAAAGGTGTGTGGGATGTTTTGACTCTCACCTGTTGCTTTTTACATCTCTACCTTATGATCTCATTTTACGTATTAGGGTTTTGTTTTCCTTGGTTCACCCCTTACTGGTAGGAATCGTCAAGATTAATGCTACGTGTATGTTTTGATTTATTCAGTTTTCTCTTGTTTTATTTTCTTTAACTTGACTTAACCTCTTAAATGTTTACCCATTGACCAGACTGCCCCCTTACCCAGTTGTTTCACCACATTTTGTAATCCATTAATGTACACTGATTCATGCAGGCAAAAGGTCTACTGCTGGCTAGGAGCAATACCCTGTGCTTGGAATTATTTTAAATGATACTGTAGAGGGCATTTGGACATAACCATTGTTCTTATTTAAGTACAGTAAACCACACACTTTGATCTAACATAATTTACAGCAATGTGATGAATAAATAATGTACAGGATTTTATTTATTTATTTAGTTTTGCCACAGACCGCTCCATTCCAACACAGTTTAGAGGTCACAAATTTTGTAGTATTTCTTTGGTGAGTGGTGCCAATATCTCTTGTTAATTATCACCATACCTACTCTAATGAATTGCAGTACTGTACTATACACTACAACTGTTACTGTATTACAATAGATTCATATGGTGGGGAGGATGAGTCGTCATTAAATGTGGAGAAAATATTTAACATAAAGAAAACTATCAATTGGTCTTTTCTGTAATGTTAAATGTACTTTTTATGTAATAGAAACACTGTAATCACATTCACTATGGAAGTACTGTAATGTAATACAGCACTAAGTAATTATAAACAACATGACCTATACAGCAGTATGAATTATGCAAAGACAATGGAGCACAAGATGATGGTGTGGTGGTATGGGTGTCCACAGGGTGTATGTCAAAGGAGGGTAAAGAAGACCAGATGGCAGAAATCTTGGAGAAGTTAGGAGGAGCTGTTGAGGTGTGGGATCAGTGTTGCTCAAGTAGAATGGAGATATTTAGAGAATGAGAGGTGAAAGATTGGTAAAAATAGTGTATAGCTCAGATGTAGATAGTAGGTGTGAGAGAGGATGGCCCAGAAGAGATGGGAGGATGGGGTGAAAGACGTGACATAAATGATGGAGAGTGACATCCAGGAAGCAGTGTTGTTAATGCACAGAGAATGTAACCGTGTGTAATATTTGGTTCAGGACGTGCTGCTAATGAGTGATGCTGGGTCATGTAAAGTGTCAGGTAAAGCAGATGGCTATATAGTATTTGGAGTGTTGTGTAAGGGAATCACCATAGCAGAACACATCTATTACAGCATTAGGAGTGGCTAGTTAATGGCACATGGAGGGAGAATGTGTGGAGAAATATATATATATGCTCATGATTCTGGCTTCCTTGCATTATGTAAGGAAAAGGCTTGGGGCATAAAAATAATGTTTCTCAATAAGTTGTTTATTACTCAGTTACAAGGTTTTAGGGTAAAATTCCAATATATATTTTTTGCTTGAACTATTTTATTATTTACAGGTCATTGATTAAGACATTCATATTCATTACCATCTCCTCCACAGACGAGCTCTTCGTGAACAGTGTCTGGACTATGTGGCAGAATATTTAACCGACTTAAGTGCTTCAGCTGATCCCATGGCAGGTATTATATCTGCTAACCTCAAGACCTGTCAGGCTAGACTAGAACGCTTTGTATAATTATCTTTTTTTTTTTTTTTTTTTCAATATATGTATGATACTGTAAATGAAACTTAAGGGGTCTGTGTGATATTTTTAGGAGTGTGAATGAAACATGATACCTGATTAACTGTGTCAAGTACAACACTAATGAAAGCATTTTGGTTCTGAGATTATATATTGCTTAAACTATTTGTAACTTGTATTTTAGTTAGATTTTCATTTTTCTTAAAACTGTTTACAATAAAATACCTGTACTGTAAAGCCAACCCAAGGTAGAAGAGGGATGTTTTTACTATTGAGGAAATCTACAAGCCGTATGTAATACAGAAGTTGATTAGGGGTGATTTTTTTTTGTACAATTTTCAAAATAGGAATAGCATTTGCAATTTTCGAAATAACAATAAAGCAGTATGACTGTTTAATTGTCATTTGGACTTGTGCTTCATTTTTCAACTGTTTTGGTAGTTTTCACAAAAGTACTGTAAAAGGCTATCTGATTTTTTTTATATGTTATCTCATTTTATTGGTGCAATTGAAAAGTTTTTATATTTTTTTAATGGTAGGTGTAACTTTAAGATGTGATGTTACAGCATTTCACAATTATTTTAAGAGCTGTATGCTGCATTATGAGTCAGTCCAAAATATAGACTTCCTCGTTTAAATTTTACATCAAGACTACAAGGAAGGCGTAGAAAATGTGTTTTATTTACGAAGAGCATACCTGTATAGCTGCATCCTACTGTACTTTGATGGGAAAACTTAAAACTTTGATTTAAACTTTGCTATATATAACACAAAATAAAAAAAATAGTTGAAATCATATTGTGAAGATGATGGTGCCAGACTGTTTGATGATGAGTGCAGTGTGATGAACTTGAGGAGGAAAGAAAAGAAAAAAAGATGATCAGGAAGAGAGTTTTTTCTTTTTTCCTTTTGACCAAAGTTAAAGATGATTAGCATATTCTGAGAATGGGAATGTGAAGAAAAAAAATTACATGCATGGCTGTGTTCTTTAAGTCTACCCTAACATGAAGGTTGTCTGGAGGATTCATCAGACACTACCCCAGTAAAATCAACAAAGTTCTATTTGATGATGCATCCTGAAGTGGTGGTACTGTATCCAGATCCTTGTCCTAGGAGTTTTTATATACAAGTGGAAGATATGAACTTCTTGAGTAGAGTTTTGTCTCTGGACATAAACAGTTAATCCTCACACTATATTGTAGCCATGAGTACCACAGTTTACTATTTAATTGTAAACTACTGTACCATAGTTAGGAGATGTATTTTTATATAAAAGTGAGGTGCTCAATTTATAGTGGTTTATGGTAGGTCACCAAGGCCAGTCGCTCCCTGTCTTTTGGACGTCTTGGCCACAGTCTTCTGCTGTGAGTACATGATTACAGTTTCCCATTTCCAATTTTCATTACATAGATAATTTTTACAGCTTTATACAGTGTACTGTATTGAATTTTAATTAAAACAAAAATATATTCATTGTGCTGAATACACAATTTTTTTATCTTTTATTATTATACACTGAATAAAGATTTACTTACTAAGTGTGAGAGAAAGTGATTGTCTCAATACCTTCCCACTTAATCTAACTAATGTTTATAATAATAATAATTAACGGTTTATTGAAAGAGCTTGGCAGCCAGAAGGCTGAAAATATACAGTTACATATTTGGGGAATGGGTTTCGAATTACAAATAATATACAAGTAACACAAGTGATACAAATAAGATATATAATAACTAGATGGGGAAAAGCTCAAACTACAGTTCATTTCAACATAGTGACAGTGCAAGGAGTAGTGTTTACTGGGAGTGAATACACTGGTTTATTACAAATTGATAATTTTTACAATGGTTGGGTCTGGGCTGTTCTTATAGCGATCAGTTCGTGCACGTATGGGCTGGATGCGGTTGTGGTTGTCGAACAGCAATTCTCGGGCTAGGGATCTCAAGTGGTAGTAGGAGCTGGTGTCGAGGATGGTGTAGAAGCTTCTTACCAAATTTGCAGATGAGGTCGTGGTGATGGTCAGTGAGAGTCGAAAGGGTCAGTGTGTTGAGCGCTTCTTGATATGTGGAGTAGGAAGGAGAGAGAATAATCTTGCATGCCCTCTTGCACATTTTCTAGGTGTTTACGTTGTGTGGCATTTAGGGAGGAAGACCAGGTGGGGGAGGCATAGGTTTGTCCAACTATTCATGCAGGGTGAAATAAAAATGTTTTTATTATTTTAGATTTGTAACAATTTGAGAATGAGAATTAATTGATTATTTTGAATATTATAATAGTCGATACAGCCAACTAAGTTTGCCAGCTGTGAGCCATGAACAAATCTAGGACATGTCTCTGAAAAGCCCGGGGATCATTAGTTACCAGCTAGCAGAGTCCAGGTTCTTGGAGGTCTCTACTATGATTATTCCTCATAACTGAAGTTGTAAGAATGTTTCTAACTAGTTAGCTTATGTTAAATTAATCTGTCAACCTAACAACGAAATATAAACACTTGAAAGAAAATTATGAGCACCGGTACTCGAGTTCTCGGTCAGTAGACACCATGGAGTAAACTTTAAGCTCTTCCCCCAGGTGGCCTCAACAAGACACCATGGAGTAAGCTTTAAGCTCTCCTCCCAGGTGGCCTCAACAAGTAGACACCATGGAGTAAGCTTTAAGCTCTACTCCCAGGTGGCCTCAACAAGAAGACACCATGGAGTAAGCTTTAAGCTCTACTCCCAGGTGGCCTCAACAAGAAGACACCATGGAGTAAGCTTTAAGCTCTCCTCCCAGGTGGTCTCAACAAGTAAGACACCATGGAGTAAGCTTTAAGCTCTCCTCCCAGGTGGCCTCAACAAGACACCATGGAGTAAGCTTTAAGCTCTACTCCCAGGTGGCCTCAACAAGTAGACACCATGGAGTAAGCTTTAAGCTCTCTTCCCAGGTGGCCTCAACCAGTCGACACCATGGAGTAAGCTTTAAGTTCCCCCCCTTCCCCCCAGGTGGTTGAAAGAGTCCATTACAAGAGTGAAAATTATAAACATTTCTTTGACTCTTGGAACAGTGCAACTAAACTATATTACGACTTCGCGCCTCATAACGGGGAAGAAGCGGCGCTGATAAGGTTAATTTTATGATCACTTACCAGAAGTATTTGTATATCTGAAACAAAAAAAAATGATCTGTATGGGAGACACGATTGACCACGTAGGACAGGATCAGGAGGGAATAAAAGGTGCCGTTGGAAATTTTAGTGGAGGAAATAAAAATACAAGAGGTGAAAGGATTATTGAATTTTGGTATTCTAAAAGATATTGTAAATAATGAACACCTTTTACAAACATACGCAAAGTTATAAATGGTTCTGGTATAGCTGGTATAAGGAAAGGCAAAGTTATATGTATAAATTAATGAAAAACTAACTTTGGTGTGAATTACCCTATGTTGATATGAAACAATATACAATAATTGGCACACTGTATCAGCGGTGACAATCAAGTAGGAACTAGATCCTTAATGGCGAGGACACATCGTTCCTCTGTGGGGGAAGATGAGGTACAACGATAACATGAGGCGCCATGGTCAGTGGCTTCCGGTGATTGTTATAGAGCGAGAGTAAATTTTGTTTAATGGGTATGGGGAGGGGTCTCATTAGCTGTCAGTGTATTGATAATGAAAGAGAGTGTTGGAGGCCTGTTGAAACTATAGATAAGCTTTCTTTCGGTAGTAGATAGAAGTAGGCAGCTATCAAACGAATTACTACCGTCTGGGAAGATATTGGAAGCATAATGTACAGTATTGTCTAATGGTAGACCCTGCTGCCATATGGCATCATGAAAATTGTGACCAAGTCCCAGGTTGCTGATCTGTCTTTCTGCCTCATTCACACACAATTGCAGGGTCTCAATTGTTTCTCTTACTTTGACAACACAACATACATATATCATTTCTCACTATTGATTTTTTTTGTATTACTTTATAGTTCTTTATTATTATTATTATTACAGTGTTATTATTATTATTATCATTATTATATTATTTTATTTTTATTATAAATTTTATTTACTATGAATTATTATTATTATTATTATTATTATTATTATTATTATTACATTTTCGCCCCCCAGGCCCCGATGTGGGTCAGTGACCTGTGCCCGGGTGGACTAATACCCGTAAAAAAAAAATACAAGGAGGCAGGTCGGCACTACATTCGACCGCCTTTACAGTTGGGAGGAATGGAAGTGCCCCGGGAGGGAACCAGCGACCAAGTGGGCAGAAAGTAGGCACTTTCTCTACTGGGTAGCCTCGCTCCTAGGCCTATTACGGCCCTTTAAATTTCTGAAGTCTCCGAGAAGATTACACAACGCTCTCAGACAACCTCTTAGTATTCATCATGAGGTGTTCAGTTTTTTTTATCATACGAGGGCACCATACACTGCCATAGTTTACTAATAAACATTCCTAACATTTAGTCGCCAGTATGGAGAGTAACTTAGCGTCGCCTTCCTCTGGATAAGTGGCGTGGCGGAAACTTATAGTATTCCACAAGTATGAAAATCACAGGGTGTTTATGATGCTTGAGGGAAGGTAGTGTAGCTGACGTCACACTCACAGCGGGTAGGTAAGTGGTTGATGAGTTATTTATTACGTCATAACTGTCGCTGGCAGGAAGACGTAACCCCAGGCACACGACACTAGTTACACTCACTTATCATATGCTCTATCAGTGTTTACATATATACAGTTGTGTAGTCAGAAGTGTATTATTTAGTTATTTGGCAGGTTGTGTAACTCTCGTACATCAGCCAAGTACAACACAATCACACACATTACCGGAAAATGTCCCACTTTATATTGGGGCGACATTCACCAGTCGCTGTCTACTGCTGACCCTTCTTATTAGGAGTTACAATTATATTAAAAATAAACAAATATCTGTCCATATATTAATTTGCAGGTAATATGAATAGTGGAGATAAACTACAGAAAGGTTGTTACTGTCCATACCTTATTGTTCTTACTTTTATAACTAAATACCTGACTTTAAGGAGATGAAACACCCAGTAAAGAACTGTTCATTATTAAATGGGAAACAATTATTTTAATATTTTAAGTGTAAGAAAAACTTAAATTAATAAAATTTAAGTAATCATCGTACGCTGACACCACACAGGTAGCGGGCAACCCCTCTCCCTTTTTCTTCAGCCATCCACGATTTTTTCCACTTTACCTGTGTTTCTTCTCAATGTTTGCATATTAAAGCAGATTTACTACAATACTCTCACTACAGCTGATAAATCCTCCCCTCCTTCAGTAATAACAAGAAAGTGGTGAACAATGTAGTCAGCGGTAAGGTAACCTAAACAATTTCTAGGCGTGGGTGAGGTGAGGCGGCGGGCGCGTGCTGGTCAGTGATGGTTGTGGTGTACACGCGCGAGCAGCTCCAGCGGTGCTCTCAGTGATCGGTACCAACACTGTGATGTTGAAATTAGTGTATGAAGACAAATTATTGTCACCTTGTGCACGGTTACTGTAGTTTTAATCAGTACTAAATGGAAAATCTTATAATCGTGAAGTATAGTTTGAAGAAATAAAACCTTATGTACCAGTACTGTACTGAGTGAGTTATACCGAAAAGTGAAGAAGTGTGTCCCAATCCCACTGAAAACATGATGAAATAAAATTATATATATATATATATATATATATATATATATATATATATATATATATATATATATATATATATATATATATATATATATATATATATATATATATATATATATATATATATATATATATATATATATATATATATATATATATATATATATATATATATATATATATATATATATATATATATATATATATATATATATATATATATATATATATATATATATATATATATATATATATATATATATATATATATATATTATATATTACACTACTGTACAGGAGTACCAGAAGGGGTTTAGACGTAATGGACCGCCTCGGTTAAGTCTTCAGCGTTACGGTAAAATGGTTGTCTTTAAAAATATATTATCGTCAACTTATGTTGATTACATTTTGTACCCCCCTCCCCCCCCCGTCCCCAGCTCACTAGGTACTTTGACATTTTTTAAATAGTTTTTACTGATCTTGTTTATGACATGGCGGGGGGGGGGGTGTACAGTGTTACTAGTGACAGGGAGATGTACGAGTAGATGCTGTACACGTCATGTTAACACCGTTATCCTCCTCAGTAAAACACCAGCAGGGAAATTTGCATAAAAACACATGAATATATTTTGGGGGACACTAACACAAAATATGACGTCATTGACTAGTTGCCGAGTTGTATGACCCAGTGTCAAGGTATAGCCCGAGAAGACCGGACAACTCGCCAACTGCACTGGCTAACCATTACCCCGGAACACGATCAGAAAATCGATTAACATTCAGGTTCCCAATTACTGCCGGGTAGACAGAGACAAATGGCGTAAAGAAACTTGCCCATATTTCACCCTGCTTGGGATCGAACCTGGGACCTCTCATTTGCGAGGTGGGGATGTCATGCCAGACACGCTTTTCACATCCTGTACTGAAGACCTGCTGTAAGTGGACGTACGGGTTACAAATAAACAAATTAACATACAATACATACATACTATAACTTAATCAACTCTAAAGGACAATCAGGTTTAACACATACAGTAACTATCGATCAACATGTAAATTTAGTTAATATAATCGTCCGTCTGTTTGTGGAGGCTGGTGTTTAAATATTTGAGTGAGTGAGTGAGTGAGTGAGTGTCTAGCCAGCGCCTCCACGGTTGAGAATAATGGTCCAGAGTCAGTGCTGGGGGAGGGTGTGTGACGACGAGTGTGTGTGGACGAGTGTAGTGGAGGAGAGTGTGTGACGACGAGTGCCTCAGAGGATAATAATCACTAAGTGTTCATTCAGCTAATAGTACTTGTGTAATTACTCGTCAGTTCATAACTCGGCTAACGTGAAGTACCAACCAGGCTGCTCGTCCTTCTATCCGTGACTGTCCACTTGTCAACAACATCTGGTGAAGGCAACAAGGCTCCCATCTTCCTCGCTGGACGACCGTGGAGATGAGAGGATCTTACCTGTTCTCTGAGGTCATGTGGGTGTGACCTGTTCTCTGAGGTCATGTGGGTGTGACCTGATCTCTGAGGTCATGTGGCTGTGATGTGTTCTCTGAGGTCGTGTGGCTGTGATGTGTTCTCTGAGGTCATGTGGCTGTGACCTGTTCTCTGAGGTCATGTGGGTGTGACCTGATCTCTGAGGTCAAGTGGCTGTGACCTGTTCTCTGAAGTCGTGTGGCTGTGATCTGTTCTCTGAGGTCATGTGGCTGTGATGTGTTCTCTGAGGTCAAGTGGCTATTTATAAAGTCAAGACACCCGGCCATTACAGGGACTCTCCTTCACTATACATTATGGCGTCGTCCTTCCTGTCCTTCAATCATTCCCTCACTATAACATTTAGCCTCCTCACGTGGCCATGTCCACCAGGCCCCGGAGTGTGAATGTCGTCCAAGTAATCTGGTCAGATCGTCTCGTCCATAAACCTGTTACGTCAATAAGTGTATTTGAATTAACTATCAACTACCATGAAACAGTTTGTAATATTTGCAGTCAATTGTTCCATATTGGGTTAGTAACTAAGAGGCAGAACAACAACTCATATTTTTCAACAGTTTCCCGATTTCATAACTTATTTTACTTCTTTATATTCACTATGGCAGTCCTATAGAAGTCTTCTGTCTACTCCTCTAACAACACTTCCTTTGTCTCCTTCAGGTCCCCTTCATCCTCGGGTTTTGAAACAGTCTCTTCTGGCCAAGATCTGGGCTGGGAGGGAGGGAGGGGGGTGAGTTGCTCGAAACCACAGTCGTAAATAGACATTTGTGTGACACTGGATTTGTAGTACATTATCGTGCACCAGCAGCACACCTCAAGTTAACATTCCCCATTGTTTCTCCTGGATGACGTCACCTAGGTTTCACATTAATCCGGCATAATAGTCCCTGGTGTTCGTTGCTTATTGCGGCAGGTAGTCGATCAGCAGAATCCCTTTGGTATTCCAGAAAATTCAGGCCATGGTCTTGCTGGTAGAGGTTGACGTCTGAACTTCTTGGGGGTCGAAAATACTTGTGCTTCCATAGAATGTATTCCATCTTTGACTTGGAATTCCAATGGTGAATCCAGGTCTCATCATCTGTCATTATACTGAAAAAAAAACTTGTCTGGATCGGCTTTGTACAGTTCAAGAAAGGAACTCACAACTTGAGGTCTCGGGAAACACATATACAAGAAACCCAGTGCTCATAGATGATGGTCACAACACTTCCCGGTGAAATGTTAACTAACCTAACCTAACCATAGTGCTTATTTCCTCGACTTTGTTATGATGGTTCGCCTTAATCAAGCTCTCGACTTGGGCTACAGTTGTCTCGTCCCTGGCACCTAAAGACTAGGGGGTCATCCTTAAAGCTCTAACGATCACCCTTGAATTCTTGGAGGGACATCTGCGCCTCACACTCGCCCCGCGATGAATTTCCTTGCTATTGATCCATCATTTGTGAAGAATTTTATGACCTTAATGTTCGATTTTGCCAGTACTGTATGTATAGTCCTCGGAGCTCATTCTTTAACTCCTTCACTATTGGACGCCACTTCTGATATTTTATTTGGCTAATCGCAGACGATTTTATTCAGCACGGAGAGTGACCCCTATTACACAAGGGGTTAAACTCTTACTATGGAAGATTATATATCATTACTTTAGTCAAGTCACTTAAAATAATTACCCAAATATTCAAGTTTATCTTATCAAAAACTTAGAATCCTGCAGAATCATGTGTGTGTGATAAGTGAAGGTGTTAACTAAGGAAAGATTATTAGCGTGAAACAATGTAGTATATGTAGGCTACAGTATACAGGAATATAAATACAAAACTCCCAGCATTATTATATAGTACATTAGACTACAGTACACACTATGTACACTCGCTCCATAAGGTATCTTTACTTTTTGTGTTAAGACAATATGACACAACGGACGAAGGATTTTAACAACCCTACCGAGACAACAGGAGTCAGAGTGTTCATTATGAAATTCATCGGACCGCTCCGTAGGGATACTTTTTGGAGTGTGTAGGTAGCAGGTGTTGGTGGTAGTATTCACACCCGCAGCCACGTCAGGCATTTTGTGAGGAGTCAAGTTACCTTTTGTTATCAACGCTTTATCAAGAACAATGTCCCATCTCTTAAGGGTATGAGATCATCTTTGCACCTGAATGTCAACACACATTATGTAATAAACTCGTATAATTGTGTTAACGTCACCACTAGACAGCCCACTCACACAGCAGGGAAATGAGCAGTTTGTGCCTCTACACTGACAAAGGTGACCAAGGTTCTTATTTCCTTTTGTGTAGGTTGGTGACTTGAGTGTCTTGCTGCAGGTATTAACGCTAACACCTTTATGATGTCTGAACCCCTGAACCAAGCACATAGCCGAGAGCAAAGTTTTTTATTTTAGCATAGTACCTTGTTAGTTGTGTGTGGTGGTGGTGGTGTGTGTGTGTGTGGTGGTGTGTGGTGGTGTGTGTTGGTGGTGGTGTGTGTGTGGTGGTGTGTGTGTGGTGTGTGTGTGTGTTGGTGGTGTGGTGTGTGTGTGTGGTGGTGTGTGTGTTGGGTGATGAGTGTACAGGAGGGCCTCAGGTGGCATGTGATCACTCGTGCTCTAACACATCATCACAACCTAACCTCGCCTCTAGACACAAGGTAACGCTTCATCTAGACACAAGGTAACACTTCATCACAACCTAACCCCTCGCCTCTAGACATAAGGTAACACTTCATTACAACCTAACCCCTCGCCTCTAGACACAAGGTAACACTTCATCACAACCTAACCCCTCGCCTCTAGACACAAGGTAACACTTCATCACAACCTAACCCCTCGCCTCTAGACATAAGGTAACACTTCATTACAACCTAACCCCTCGCCTCTAGACACAAGGTAACACTTCATCACAACCTAACCCCTCGCCTCTAGACACAAGGTAACACTTCATCACAACCTAACCCCTCGCCTCTAGACACTAGGTTTTATTATCTATGAAGTATATCAGTATCACTTGTTTCTCTCCTTGTAAACATTTCACCAGATTTAAATAACAAGAATTTAATATCGTTGGTATCTAAGTACAGGGAATAACTACAAGCTTTCTGGATCTTTCTTATAAGTTCTAAAAGGTTGTGGAAGCATTTGTGTGATATCGGCCATAAAGTACACAGCCCCCATTAACATACTTTTTTTTTCTCGTAATTATTTATCGCTATACAACAATATATGTCGACGTTTGTTCACTTTCTCAAGCAATCATGTCCAGACGTGAGAGTCCTTCTGACCTGTGGTGGTGGTCTAACGTATTGCCTCTGCCAGGGGGTGAGTCTCTCTCTCTCTCTCTCTCTCTCTCTCTCTCTGGACCACGAGGAAACATTTCTCGTCCAGTCAGTTTCTCACTGTGTATAAAGTTCAGTTGAAGCATAAGGCTGTGTTGTTGACAAGTCAATGTGTTCTCTACTGTCTAGTTTATATATCCTAGACCACATCCAGGCCACAGCCGTCAGCCTGACGAACGACAGCTCACTTACTGGCAACCTTCAAGCTCAGGCCCACCGGCGTGCTGTCTCTTCCCTCTCTCTTTTCTACTGTACCTCACTTACTGTTGTGTACAACTGGCTATACTTGTGCCTCTCTGATAGGTAGATTCTCCTCACACTCCACTCGACTGTGTACTGCCTCACCTCACCTGCATACTTACATCGTCCTCTGTCCTTACACAACACAAACGTCCATAACCTTCTTCACATCTCACCTCACCTCCTTTACTCCTAGCATTGACCTCATCCTTTATATACACACTTCTTGTATCCTTCACCTTCACTGCAGGATGCCTCATTGTGGGTCGTCCTCCTGCCGCAGTTCTTCATGGGGGCAAAATAATTGTCCTTACACATTTCTTCGTCTCGTTGAAAACCATTTATTTTTAATTCGCAACTTCATATTAGACAACAACTGCAACACTTCAGGTATAAGTTCAGAAAAAATATTTACAACTTATTGAACATCAATCAGGCCGAGGGGAATATATTTATGTCAGAATACCTAAACTAACCTAAACCTAACAGACACCATAACTAGAGGCGGCCATGGCGTAGGAAGGAGGTCCATAGTGTGTGTGTGTGTAGGATCCCTTCATTGTTCACCTACTAGTCTTGTCTAGGATTATTTTTGAAGCCCTGTGCTGTTCCATAGGTCTACCAGCCTTTGTGTGATGAAGTACTTCCTTATATTCGTCCAGCACGACAACTTGGAGAGCTATGGAACTGTCCTTTTGTACATACTCACAATAACCTTTCTTCTTCTTCTTCCACTTAATTTACTGGCCGTCAACAGTTAAGGTCATTAAGGCGGTAGTAATTGTATGTTTGGTTTGGACTAGGAGACCCGTGGCTTTTCTCAGGTGTTCTTGTAGGTCACTGTTGGTTATTGGTTGGCTGTTGGTTGTGGTTGTTGTAAGATTAGGCACTCGGTAAACAGTAACTCGTTATTCGTGTTCTGTTTTTTGTTTGATCCTTGATATTTCACCATGTAGATCCACACTGGTGCATCTTGGAGTAGTGTGTGTGTGTGTGTGTGTGTGTGTATCCCATCAATAAACAGGACGACCAACTCTTGCCCTTCCAGATACCCATAACTTTACTCCCTTCACCTGTCCCCCAGCACATATCTCCATTTGTCCTGTAGATACACGTCTCAAGCACCAAAACAGACAAGGTTGTTTTTTTAATCATTATGTCTTATTATTATAATTACATTCACTTACCGTAGATACAACAGTTTTATTTATTTTTTTTATTCTTCCCGTTGCTTGTTAGTTAAGTGCAAGATGATGGGGGTTACCAGGTCCCTCGCCCCCTCGACTTGGTAAGGAAGGAGGGGGTACAGGAGGCTCTGAGCTGGTAACCTTCTTATATTCTACCCTTAAATTATTCTACATGTTTATAAATTCCCATCTCTTCTATTTGGCGTGTCCAAGGTTGGTTCAGGGTGTGGGTGCTGATCTCTGGTGGTGTGGAACGAGTGTGGTCAGGCAGCAGGTGCCACACTACATATATGGCAGCCACACCTTGAGAGAACCACCAAAAGTTATATATTCTAGAGTAAGACAATATGTTGCTGCATTATTTACATGAGATATATTGTTGAGGGGATAATTGACAAACCACTTTTATTCCAAGAGTTTATTGTGGTCTGTTTTGATGTTTTAGGACCGAACTCTTCCCCCTCCCCCCCCCCAAAAAAAAAACGTCGTCATGCGAAATTTAAAACCCAAATACGTACTACTGAGCAGGTGTGCATGTGTGGGAGGGGGAAGATCCAGTTCCTTCCACCTAATACAGCAATGTTATGTCAGCCACCACACTGAGCACACCAGAATTAATTAAATACCATTAAGGTGTAGCAATAAAAAAAGGTTAACCCAATTTAGCAAACACGTCACTCGTTCTTTAAAGCTTAATCGGCTATTAGCCTTATATAGCGTGACATAATTGGACCCACCTATATATTAAAGGAGCCTGTGGGTGTGTGTGTACCTCAGGATCATTTTTGAGATTTGAGTCGGAGAGAAAAAAATGTTGGGAGGAGAGTTTCGTGAGCCACCCAGACAGACAGACAGACAGACTCAGACAGACAGACAGACAGACAGACAGACTCAGACAGACAGACAGCACAGTACCATACACCTTTTTAGCAATACAACATATAATAATAATAATTCCTTGATAACTGCTGGTAATGTATCTCTCACCACACCAGTAAACACTCCAGCCCTACACTCCAGATACACGCCTTATGTAAACACCATAATACCAGTGACGAGGTAGTATCGTTAGCTGGTCTGGAGGTACATCATTAGGGTAACTCCCCCCACCTCTATCCTAACCTAACCTGACCTAATCTAACCTCTGTCCCTCACTCTTCCCTCCCTCCACCCTCACCTCTCCCTCATCCCTCCATCCACCCTCACCTCTCACGCCTCCCTCGTCATCACTCAAATCAACAACTTTAAAGGTTCAGAAAATATAGTGTTTTGTCTTCACAGGAACGACGAGAAACAACAAGAACTAAAAACAAATGAAGTGCAGTGCCTAAAAAAAAAAAAACCCTCGCCTGGGATAATGAAAAACTAAAACAAAACAAGAAAACTAAAAACACATAAAAACATTGAAAAACATAAAAAACAAAATAAAAGTGTGAAGAGATTATTGATAACTTTTGTGTTTGTTTGTGTTAGGATTTTGACGAGATGAAATTGTGGTGTTTATAAAAGTATCTTGTGGATTATAATGTGTGATGGTGGTGTGTGATGGGCAGAATGTGACCACCTATAGCCAATACCTCTCTTACCTCCCCGCTACCTCCTGTGACGAGTGGCGGCCTCCAGCACCCACCGCCATTCCTTCCATCATGAGGTCAGAAGAGGTCACTTGACGGTTTTATCACCCCTCGTCAGCTACCACCTCTTCCTCCGTTCTCGACAGGTCACCAGGTAGGTCACTGTCTCAACAGGTCACTAGGCGTAGGTCACACATCTCAACAGGTCACCAGGTATAGGTCACCATTGGATTGAATTGAAACAGTTTATTTAGCCAGAAAAAACCCAGAGTAGATAAAAATAACAATATTAACATGACTGAGCCAGTTGAGAACCTGAGCTCTCCTGTAGGCACCTGAAATATACTATACATTTATCTCAAGGAAGTATTATGTAACATTTAGTATCATCTGGAATAGTACAATAGCATGGTGGTAATAAGAACATCTCATAATGTTACCACGGTTATCACTTCAATATTTATTTATTTTATTTATTAATATTTATTTTTTTAGTAATTTTTGTATTTATAAGTATATACATAAATTACAGTGGAATTGAAAAACATAAGTATAATGGGGCAGCAGTAGAACATGGATTGTACAGTATTAAGGTTGAACAAGAAGACAGAGTGTGTCAGGTTTATGTCTAGTTGGCAAATATGTTTATTGCAATGGTAATTACTTGTAGTTCACCATCGCAACAATCACCATATAGGTCACACCATTTCTTAACAATCACCATATAGGCCACACAATCTCTTAACAATCACCATATAGGCCACACAATCTCTCAACAATCACCATATAGGCCATATACACACACTCAACAATCACCATATAGGCCACACAATCTCTCAACAATCACCATATAGGCCACACAATCTCTCAACAATCACCATATAGGCCACACATCTCTCAACAATCACCATATAGGCCACACAATCTCTCAACAATCACCATATAGGCTCACACAATCTCTCAACAATCACCATATAGGCTCACACAATCTCTCAACAATCACCATATAGGCCACACAATCTCTCAACAATCACCATATAGGCCACACAATCTCTCAACAATCACCATATAGGTTCACACAAACTCTCAACAATCACCATATAGGTTCACACAAACTCTCAACAATCACCATATAGGCCACACAATCTCTCAACAATCACCATATAGGCCACACAATCTCTCAACAATCACCATATAGGCTCACACAATCTCTCAACAATCACCATATAGGCTCACACAATCTCTCAACAATCACCATATAGGCTCACACAATCTCTCAACAATCACCATATAGGCTCACACAATCTCTCAACAATCACCAAGTAGAGAAGAGTAGAGACAATCACACCTGTATAATATTCCTCTCAGATATTTCCCGTCATCCGGTCACACAATACATTCTAGAGCAATTATGTCATCTCTGAGTTACCTGTAATACTTTTAATAATAAACTACCTGGCACTAATGAGGTCTAGACAAACACCACTCACCCCTCTCCACCTTCCCTCCCCCTCTCTCCCTTTCCCCTCCCACTCCCTCTCCTCCAGGTGCCCTTAGGTAGGTTATAGTGAAGTGTTGGCGCTTATTTCTATACATTTACTTAGTTATAATTTTATAAGGTTGTTGGTTATTAGATGTTGTGAAGGTTGTGTGTGGTGAGGGTGTGTGGTGTGTGTGGTGAGGGTATGTGGTGAGTGTGGTGAGGGGTCCATAGTGAGGGGTCCGTGATGATAGGTACGGGATGATGCTAATAGTTCTCAATCATTGTGTTACCGTGACCGTCTTTTGTCATCATACAGTTGGTATATACGGTATTAAAGACTTTCTATTTCCTGTTGCGAAATTTGATCTGCTGATGTGCCATTGTCAGTGTCGCGTTGGGAGTAGTTTTGTATTTCATCCTGGTGGGGGGTAAAGGGGGGGAGGGAGGTTTCTAATGACCAGGAAGAGAGTTTGTTGCAGAAGAGATCCGTACCGTCCCGCTCTCTAGCTCTGTAAACACTGGCCACCACTCACTGTGACCACCACCACCTGAGCCTGAAAACACACATTCTCTCTCTCTCTCTCTCTCTCTCTCTCTCTCTCTCTCTCTCTCTCTCTCTCTTGTTACCTGAATAATTACTCTTATTAAACAGGTATAAATGCATGTGGGTGGTGTTAGTGTTACTTTCTCACTGTAGTCGTGTAGGAAGGTCGTCACTGCACACCACGACCACTGTATATATATCCCACTGTAGCCATGTAGGGAGGTGGTGAATACCGGATACATATCGTACACTACAGTAATACACGAATGAGTTGATGAGCAGTAGGGTTAGGTTAGGTTAGGTTAAGTTAAGTTAGGTTAGGTAAAATTAAGTTAGGTTAAGTTAAGTTAGGTGTTAAAGTGATTCTTCTTCACAGTTTCCTAGTATGTGTGAGGTCATGTATTGGTGTGTGAGGTCATGTATTGGTGTGTGTGTGTGTGTGTAAGTCAGGTAGGTAACTCACAACCTCCTGAACTTAAACATGTATGCAAATCAAATTCAGGTGAGTCGGTTGATACAGCAGAGAGCAACAGCACACCTGAGATTTAGTGCCTGTTAAAGTTCAGGTGTTTATAATTGCCTTGGCACTGATTTTTAGACAAACTCTTAACTATGTGTTTTATTTCCACACACACACACACACACACACACACACACACACACACACACACACACACACACACACACACAATTATCAACTAGATTGTATAACTAACTTGTATATATATAAAAAAAAATAGTTTATTTTTGTTTTAAGCCATAGATGAGTGTACTTCATGTTGCCTTCACTGACAAGTAACGTGAACCATAATTTTTCTCCGCAGGTAAGATGAAGCGGCTGCCCAGGTAACGGTAAGAGAAACAAAGACAACGGTACAAACAGTAAGACAACGGTAGTGAGATAACAGTAGTAAGCTGGTGTCATTGTGTTGGTAATATCACAACATTGTCCTCCTAGTCCCCGTAATATCACAACATTGTCCTCCTATTACCCTTAATATCACAACATTGTCCTCCTAGTACCCGTAATATCACAACATTGTCCTCCTAGTACCCGTAATATCACAACATTGTCCTCCTAGTCCCCGTAATTTCACAACATTGTCCTTCTAGTCCCAACATTGTAATAACACAACATTGTCCTCCTAGTACCCGTAATATCACAACATTGTCCTCCTAGTACCCGTAATATCACAACATTGTCCTCCTAGTACCCGTAATATCACAACATTGTCCTCCTAGTACCCGTAATATCACAACATTGTCCTCCTAGTCCCCGTAATCACAACATTGTCCTACCCGTAATATCACAACATTGTCCTCCACCCGTAATATCACAACATTGTCCTCCTAGTCCCCGTAATATCACAACATTGTCCTCCTAGTCCCGTAATATCACAACATTGTCCTCCTAGTCCTGCACACAACATTGTCCTCCTAGTACCTGTAATATCACAACATTGTCCCCTAGTCCCCGTAATATCACAACATTGTCCTCCTAGTCCCTGCAATATCACAACATTGTCCTCCTAGTCCCCGTAATATCACAACATTGTCCTCCTAGTCCCCGTATTATCACAACATTGTCCTCCTAGTCCCCAATATCACAACATTGTCCTCTTAGTACCTGTAAATCACAACATTGTCTTCCTAGTCCCCGTAATATCACAACACATCTCCCATTACCCTTAATATCACAACATTGTCCTCCTAGTCCCTGCATATCACAACATTGTCCTCCTAGTCCCCGTAATAACACCATTGTCCTCCTAGTACCTGTAATATCACAACATTGTCCTCCTAGTCCCCGTAATATCACAACATTGTCCTCCTGTACCCGTAATATCACAACATTGTCCTCCTAGTCCCTGTAATATCACAACATTGTCCTCCTAGTTCCCGTAATATCACAACATTGTCCTCCCTAGTCCCTGCATATCAAACATTGTCCTTCTAGTCCCCGTAATATCACAACATTGTCCTCTAGTACCCGTAATATCACAACATTGTCCTCCAGCACTACAACACTCGTCTCAATATCCAGGATTGTGATAATTGTAACTGTCCCTGATGCTGCTATAGTCCGAGGTCAAAGAGTACAAGTGGCTGATGGACTGACGAGTACAGATAAACATATTAACACCTTGAGTACTTGAGGGTTATCGTACTAAGGGTTAAAATCATCGTATCAAGAGGTTAAAGGTAATAATAACGAGTCATGGGAGTAACCAACACACACACATTGACTCTAGGTTAATGTTACCATGATCACCAGCCCGGTGGGGAGGGGGTAGGGTAATGAGGGTAGGGTGATGGGAGGTAAAGGAGGGGTAAAGGAGGGGAGGAGGGGCATATATATACGTGTATGTGAACGTCAGTGAGTCTGCCTGCTCTGTGTTTTGCTTCCAGCTTATCTTGTTACTGTGTTAATGAAGATGTTGTTTGATCGTTAACCAGCACCCTTTAATGGTGGTGAGGGGAGGTTAGTGGGTTAGGGAAGGTTAGGAAGTAGGTTAGGAGGAAGAAGTTTTTTCTTCACCTTATTAACTTGAACAACCTGGGTGTCTCACAGCTTAAGTGTCATTGTAGAGTAAACATGTGATGATGATGATGACGATGATGATAATGACGAGGAAGTACACACACATACACACACACACACACACACACACACACACACACACACACACACACACACACACACACACACACTTACACTTCCCAGGCAAGACCAAGACCATATATGGCATTGCTTCGGCAGGCTCCACCAACCGGATATTAGAGAAATAGTCGAAGTTCGTCAGGTATATTGGAGCCCCTGTACACCTGAGGCAAGAGCATACCTTGCCTTATTAACCTGGTGGCACAGTCATTTGTTTTTTTTTTATAAGTGTTTGTTGCTGAGGGAGGGAGGGAGGGGAGGTTGAGGGAGGGAGGGCTGGAGGGGGGAGTGTTGAGGGAGGGAGGGTGGAGGAGGGAGGGAAGGTGGGAGGAGCAAGTGAGGTGTGTGGAGGAGAAGCAGAGCGTCTCTCCCACCACTGATTACCCCCAGCTGCTGTCCCCTCACTACCTCCCTCTCCCAGCTGCCCCTCATCACCTCCCTCTCCCAGCTGCCTCCCCACTACCT